GGGTCCATGTGCTCCTGAAACATGAAGACCAGGACACCTCAATAGGAGCAGGGGGTTGGCGGGGTCACACGACCCACTGTGGTCACCGGAGACCCATCCTTTGAGTGCCCGGAGGGTCTCCCGAACCACTGCAGCCTGGCTTAGCCTTCTCAGGCGCCACCCCCATCTCCACCCAGGGGGCAGAAAACCTTCAGAACGGCGGCGCCCGCCCCGGTTCAGCTGGACTTCCGACGAGGCTGTGGCCCAGGTGCCACCCTTCCACAAGAGAATTGGGCTTTCAGGGGCAACCAAGCAGCCTCAGGCCCAGGTCTGGCCCAGAGCAGAGGGCCTGGCAGGGGGAGGCTGGGCCCTGTTCCATTAAAGCCTTATGAACATGGGCGTAGGAAGTCCAAATCATCTTCAAGAGTCGGAAATATCATTGCTTTGATTATTCTACAGTTCAGGTCAATAAAACCCACTCTTGGATGGCAGGCGGCGCACAACAGGCCTGCAGCCAGGTTCGGCCCACGGGCCATGCTTCCCGAGCCCTGTTCTCGGCTAATGGGATCACTGGGTCCCCAAAGCAGCACCGGGTGGAAAGTCAGCAGAATGAGGATACAACCACTCTCGGATGTGCTGATGAGCACAAGCCAGAAGCCGACGCTTCAACACAGTGGCTTTCAACGTTGGCTGTGCCCTGCTGGCACGAGCAGAGTGGCGAAACCGTGGGTCTGCCCCCAGTCCTGCTGGAAGTGTTGCGGGCACAGCCTGGAGACAGTGACTCTTTCAATGTCCCCAAGTGGCACTTGGGGAGAAACAAGGTTAAAAACTAACCAAGCCATTAAATGATGAGCGAGCGAGAATTTTACTCACTTAATATGACAGCTTTATCCTCGTGGCTCGGGAGCAACAACAGTCCAATAATAAGCACATACAACCTTCCCACAGGAACGGACACGTAGCTATGCTGGAAAGCAGACGTGCCCTTGTAAGCGAGGGAGAAGAATCTCCTTAAAGAAGGAAGGATATGGTCAAAGGCAGGGGTAGGGCGGCGAGGAGGAAAGGGGAGGGAGGAAGCCCCAGGCACTGGCAGGGGCAGAGCAGGTGTAGCGTGGAAAGCAGCGCCCGGGAGCCCAGGGTGCACCCGGCAGCCGAGCCGCCCCTGCAGGACAGAGTCCCAGCCCAAGCTAAGTGGGGAAGGGACTGAGCACATTCAACACGCGGACTGACTTGCGCTGAGGGAACAGAAACAGCAGAAGAGGCTGAAAACGACCCGAAGATGCCAGGTCCCTAGAGACACGGGCCTGGTAAGGGAGGCAGTTGTGCTCACCAGGTAGGCGCAGAGGACCGACCCAGAGATGGGTGACAGGCACCAGGCTCCACTTGGCTGCCCTCCCGAGACCTCATCACAACGGCCTCGGAAGGATATTAAGCAGCCTCCAAAGAGGCAAGAGCACGGACGATGGGAGAGCAAAGGAACAAAGAAGCAACCGACTGTGCCGAGGTGAAGAAGGCGGACATGAAGGAGTACAGGGTGTGCGACTCCACTTCAGCCAGGTTCTCGAGCAGGACAGAGTAACCCACAGACGCCAAGCAGACGGAGGCTTGCAGGGGCCCGCAGGATGCAGGGGCGCTGGGCCGGGAACGTTTAGGGGAGCGGTAAATTGTCTGTACTTCGATAAAGGAGGAGCTAGGCCCTGACCCGTGACGCTTTACAGATGAGGGATGTAGGAATAGGAGAAGGTGGGTGAACCTCACCCCTGATGCGGCTTATTGATAGCGAGAAGATACATCTTCTTCTCAGCGAAACACAGTTTCTCTCATGCTGGGCAAGGAGCCCCTGGCGAGCAGCCGGGCAGCCCCGACGCGGGCACAGCCGTTCTTGGGCGCAAGGAGAGCAGAGATCTGAAAGTGTGACCCTCCAGCCTTCCATCCACGCGCTTATAAGCACGGTGACCCTGACACGTGTCCCTGCACGGCTTTCTGTCACTGCCCACCGCCACAACGTACGCAGTCGCCACGATCTTCTGAGAATCACGCTGCAAGACACTTTCATGGCCTGGCTTCCTTCTCTCTGGACTCATGCGCGGTGGGGAATATTCCATCTTGTGTTCTGTGGCCTACCACTGCATCCCGAGCCATTCCTTGAATGGCACATTTCCCCGCAAAGACTGGAGATGGGCGCACACGTCCCCCACGCCGCTCAGTCCTCCCTCAGGTTTCAGACGCTGACCTGGTTCCGCGGGCCCCCTCAAGCAGGAGGGCGGCTCATTCGCACAGGGCTCCCCTCCTTGTGCCACCGTCACTCTCGGTAGCACATGCTCAGTGCTGCCGCCGCCACCCTCCCCAAACACGCGACCACTTTGCTCCTCGTGACGCCAGTGCAACGACACACGGGCGTGGCGTCCTGTACGCCAGACGTGGCGCCGAGTGCCAGCTTCGTGATGGCGAGCTTCTCTGTAGTGTTTGCTAGGTCGCGGCCTTGATCCGGGAGCCTTCCGTGCATTTCCACATGTGAACTCACGGGCCGCTCACGCTAGCCTCGTGGGAGAGAACCCATCACTGTCTCTGCTTTCCAGGGAGAAAAGAGAACTCGGGTCACCCTGAGGTCAAAGTCACTTGGCCCGCGCCATGGAAGTTCCCACCAGGATCCAACTCTGGTGGAGCTGACTGGAAACCCTACGCCGATAACCCGCCATGCCACGTGTTGAGGACACTGGGCTGGGACTCACTCCGAGGCTGATGGGCAGTGACGGGGGTGGTATGTGGCACCAAGACGCGCTGAACTCCAACCTCGTGCCCCCGAGTGCCCTCGCCGTGCACGACTGCCCTTCACTGTGCACGGCTGCCCTTCACTGTGCGCGGCTGCCCTTCACTGTGCACGGCTGCCCTTCACTGCCGTCCTTTCTCAGAGAGCCCGGGGACTGGCGGGCAGGTCTTCCCCTGCAGGTGAAGTAGCAGAGGCAGAAGGGCTGTGTCCATGGAGGGGAGAGAAGGTCTCCGGAGGGGCGCGGGTCCCCAGCGTGGCATCGGTGGCTCAGCGGCCTCTTCTGTTTGCGTTTCATTTTCCTCCCAACACACTCCCTCGACACCCTCACCTGCACATCCAGTCCCTGTCTTTTCCCTCTGTGTGTGCCCACACTCAAGTCCCGCCTCTCCCACCCGTCCCGGGTGCCAAAGACGATCATTCACCCCACTTCGGACACTTCCCCGGCCCCACTGCCGTTCTGTGCCAAAGAGCCGATAAAGCACGGCCAGAAACTCACGGGCAGATATTGAGGCAGCGAACATTGTGTGCGATCCCTGGAAAAGTGAGATGTCTGGGTGAGAGCACAGACTGAATTGCGAATGGGCACACATGCTGCAGGACATCAGCTCTCGCGCGTTTGCCGGTGGAGATGTACGCTGGTGAAATTTCAACCCATATTCTTAGGAAACTGCCTCTTGCGCTTAAAGATATTCACGTCCTTCTTCCCGAGGGCTGGAGAGCAGGCTCTCAAATCCTGGGCCTGCCCCGAAGCCCCAGCTACGCTCCGCGGGCTACCCGGACCTCCCCACTGGGGACGCTCTGCAACCCTGGTCCGCGCTGGGGTATCGTGCCACTATCGTTTTGTACCGAGAACTCTGTTCATTTCTTAACTTGAAAAAGCCGTTCAAACACCCATGCGTTTTTTCAAAGAAAGTGTCGGAGAGCATGTCAAGGAAACGGAGAAAGACCGGCCATCGAGCTACACTAGGGCCCCGTCTTGTGTGGCAGTGCGTTTGCTAACATGATTTGGACTATGTGGGTTTGTGTGCTGATTAGAAGCACGGGTGGTGCAAAACACTAACATGCAACGTGTGTACTCACGCGTGCCTGCACACATGTTAAGCACACACCCGTGAATGGACACGTGTGCAATCACACATGCCCTCACACGCACACTTTTTCATTCCTTCTGAGACAGGGGCGGCGTGCACAGTGTGTCACAACGCTGAGCGCCCACGGGCATGCCCTCAGGACCGGAACTCTCCGCCGCCACAAGGCAGATATCCCGGAAACCGCGTCTGCTGGGTCCAGGGAAAGCCTCTCTTGTTTCTGCCAGCGCTATTTACACACACCACTCCCCACCAAGATCAGAAAAGCTGCAGTGTTGGAGTGCCAACAAGAGGAACTTAACTCTCTCTCTGACTGCCCAGTAAAGGGAAAACTGGAAGGTTGCCAAAGAAAACGTTTTCGAGGCATGCTGGCTTTACAAGCCGGTTGTGGAAAGGTGGTGCCGCTCTTTGCATCTGGAACAAGCAGATGGGGTGGAAGTGGGCTCTCAGAAGGGGCTGGCTGGCTGATCTCCAGTCCACAGGATGGACGCTCATTTTGCAAATGTCCAGGAATCCTGGGCTCCTGGCAGCCACAGCGGCCCCCCAGTGACTCCTAACTGCGCCCCCTGGGGTCCAAAGCGACTTCGCCATCGGGCCCAAGGCAGGCAGCAAGCTGTTCCCCAGACGCCTGGTCCTACCCAAGCAGGCGTCCCTAGCTCCTGCTCACAAAACATCAGCCCTGGTCTGCTCCCAGAAATGTTGAGCCCGAGAGTTCACCGAGAGAGCAGATCCCGTGCTGCGGCGGCAGAAACACCGAGGAGGTGACGGCCGGCCAGCAGGCGAGGGCGCGACTCCTGCGCGGCCCCTCGCGCGGCCGCGGAAACCCTGGCCCTGGGAGGAGCCCCGCGAGGCCGGCACTCGCGGTCTGACCCGGCGCTCACGCGGCTGCCGTGAGGACGTCGAGAAGCCCCGCGCGCGGCCGCCTGCGCCGAGCAAAGGCCGGGCCCGCTGGGCACGCGCCGGCTTCGTGTCCACCCCGGCCTCGGCCGGCGCAGCAGGGCTGCCGCGTGCGCCCCGCGGCCCACTCGGTGATGCAGGCAGAATTCCACAGGGACACGAGAGGGCACCCGTATGAACGCACGTGATGTCACAGAGGTTACTCAGGACTGACTTCCTGGAGACAGAAGTCAACACTGGCGGAGCCTGAGGGGCACCCAGGCAGCTGGGTGACAGGCGCCGGCTCGGCTGTAATACGCCTCTGGTCGCCTGCACCGCGGCAGCACGGCCGCGAGACAGGCCGTGTGCCGCCATGAAGACGTTCAGTAAGTACCGTGGGCGTGCCGCGCCCCTCTGTGGCTTTGGCCTGAACGCCCGCGCGGGTGGGCACGCCGAAGCCCCGCCAGGCCCGCGCTGGCGCGCCCCTGGACCCCTCCGCCGAGGGCGAGGGCGGGTCAGGCTCTCGCTGGGCGCCCACCTGAGGCGCTCCGGGGCTCGCCCTAGCTGTTTGCCAGCCGAAGGTGGCACCTGCCCTCGGCGATGTCGACGTCCTCGCTGTAGTTGGCCGGTTCCCAGAGAGAGGCTCCAAACCTCCGTGGGCACGCGCGCCGCCCGCGCCCCTCCTGCTGCGCGTTAAGACTCCAGTCTCGCCGTCCGCTGGCGAACTTCGTGCACACGAGTGGGTTGCCAGACATTCTCCACAGGCCACCCGAGGGTCCTCTTTCTTGGTGCCACTCCTGGGTAGTGTCTTCCCGAGCGCGCGCCTCCTGCGCCTGTGGAGGGGCCGCAAGCTCTGCCGCGTGCTTGGGGCAGAGGGGGGAAGTACGTGGGGCTCTGCTGCTCCAGGGGAGAGGGTGTGAGGGGAGCAAGGGCGAAGGCAGAGGCGCTAGTTCCAAAGGCCTCTGACCCGGGAGTGAGAGGGCGGCGTCTAGGTCAGAGGGGTAGCGGCGGAGGTGGGCAGAAGGGCCTGTCCTCTGGGTATCTTTGGAGAGAGGGGCCAAGAGGATTGATTTCCCCGTCGGTCGGATGTGCGATGTGAGAGAAGGCGCGTCCTCCGGGCCACCTCCGGGCTTGGGGCACTTGGCAAGGGGCACTGCTGGGTCAAACGCTCTACGATGCTTGATTTCACTGCTGATGCCACTGGAGAAAGTCCCAGGGTGGGGGGCGGGGTGGTGTCAGGAGCAGGATGGTGCTCACAGCCGGCCCCACCGTGGAAGACATGACCCCGCACAGGGGTCCCGACAAGGCCCGCTGGGAATCAGTGTGGCCCGGTGCCCAGCCCTGAGCACACCCTGCTCTGTGTGCCCCCCAACTGCATGGCCTAATTAGCTTACAAAGGGCACAGCACCCCAACCCAGAGAACCTGACCTCCAATACTGGAACCCAAAGGGAAGCTGGGCGCTACCAGTCTGCCTGTGGTAACCCTCCTCCCCCACCCCAACCCATAGTGTGCTTACCTGCTGCTACCCTGTTTCCGGGGAGTGTGGTCTCAGTAAGGCGCCCTTGGTGAGCCCACCTGTGGGACAGAGAATTGAGAGGACCTTATTTCTGATGGAAGATAGCCGGTCACTTCCAATCTTCCAGTCACGTGGTAAATCCGATGCTTGCAGGGACTATTATTTGGGTAGGGAAGGGTGAGCAGCAGCACGGCTCCCACACTTCATCAGCTAACTGTGGCTACGGCGTCCAGTGACTTAGACGTCTGAGCAAAGACATGAATCAGAGACGAAGAGAGGCAACACAGAATGGCGACAGGGTCAGTCCCCCGGGGCGCCCTCAGAACCCTAAATGATCTTGCATTTTCGTCCCCCTTTTCAGGATGCAATAGTGGCGGCAGTGGCTCACCACAAGGAGAAAGGAAAGATCGGCCTTCTCTCCCAGGCAGCTGCGGCAAGAGGAACCCTCGTGGTGAACATGGCGAAGATGAGGCTCAGTCTTCACACTGCCAGGAGGAGAAGGGCCATGGGGATGGGGACATGAGAGATGGCCAGGAGGACCCGGAAGTGAGACAGTAAGTGGCCGGGCAGCCGGGTTCGCAGGTCGCAGCCCCTGGGACTGTGCAACAGCCGCAGCGGCATGGCCCTCTCGTTCTCCTCTGGCCGGAAGGCTGAAGGAAGCTAGAGGCGGATTACGACTGACCAGTCCCAATCGTAGCCCAGGTGTCAGAGAGGCAAGGGTGAGTAGCTGACTTTGGGGGCATTCGTGCCCACCCTGCTTCTCTCCACTCGCCCCCCTAGCTCTCCCTATGGTAACCGGTGGAACAAGAGGAGAGTAAAGCCGCAAAATGAAGACGGCATCCATATCAACGTGTGGAGAGAGAGAACATCTGCGGAGAGAGAAACGGGGAAGAAGAAACAAGATGAAACCCTGGGCAACTGGTTCAAGATCATAGTGAGTGTCTAGGCAGGGTGTGCTTCAGACAGGACTTCCCAGAACCACACGGAAGCGAGAACACAGTAACCGCCTGGTGTCGAGTGTTCTGAGCAGAACTTTTGAATGGAGAGAAAGGGGGGTTGGCACGTCCCTATTGGGCGCAGAGATCAGAAATCGGGCCGGTGGGTCCATCTTTAGGAGCCCCTCACAGCTCAGCAGCAGGTCAGAAAAGAACTTGCGATGGTTCTGTTCTGCAGCCTAATTCCATGTTGTGCCTCTCCCCTCTCAACCCCTCTCTCCCTCAGGTTCCCAGCGGCATCAAGTACGATAAGAGCTGGCTGATGGATTCACTGCGGACACATTGCAGAGTCCCCTTCACTCCCGTGGATGTAAGAGAGGGCGGTGGGGGCAGATGCGTGGGCTCCGGGACGGGGGGTGAGGTGAGGTGGGGGTAGGCCGAGCAGGAGATCTCTGCCCTCCAAAACGACTGTGGCACCCCCTCCTGCAGTTCCACTACGTGAAAAACCAGGCCCAGTTCTTCGTCCAGGATGCTAGGGCTGCAGCTGCACTGAAGGACATCAGCTATAAGATTAGTGATGAGGACAACAGAAAGGTGTGTGCCCAGGGCATTGCCGGTGCCTAGTCCTGGGATAGGAGGACAGGCCAGGGGCCGGTCATCCCCTTTGGGATTAAAGATCCGGGTGCTTACCCCACCTCTCCTTCCATCAGATATGTATCTTTAGCAATAAATCTGCTGTACCCCGCTCAGTGAAGAACATGTTGAAGGCAGAAGAACTGGAGCACCTAGAGGTAATGCAGACTGCAGGCATGTCGTGTGCCCACACACACCCACACCCACCTCTCCTGCCCCAGTCCCCACTTTCCCAGTTACCACCACAGACTCAGAGCGGCCCTCTCCACCTCCCCGCGCAGCTGACGATGAACAAGCGATACGATGACTGCCAGCAATCTCTAGACCTGCAGCGTCTCCGCTATGACCCAGGTACGACTGGCAGCATCATTCTAGGGTGGGTGAGGGCGGAGGGGGACAGCCCAGAGGGGATGGTATCACGGGGCGGCAGCAGGCCCTGGACCCCTCTCAGCCTTTTGATGCCTTCCTGCCCACTTCCTGAAGACTTGGTGGGCCGTGATATTGATATAATCCTGAACCGAAGAAACTGCATGGCTGCCACCCTGCAGATCATCCAAAAGACTTTCCCCCAGGTGAGACCTCATGCCCTGTGGCACTACGGCAGGAGGTAGGAAAGATGGGGGGGCTTGAGGAGGGGGGCGTGGGAGGGCGGAATTGTCTCCCAGGCCCCAGATACTAGGAGCTGAAGCTCTAACTCTTCTTCCCCAAAAGCTCTTGTCCCTCAATTTGTGCAACAACAAGCTGTACCGGCTGGATGGCCTGAGTGACATTGTGCAGATGGTCCCCACAGTCAAGAGGCTGAATCTCTCCAGAAATATGGTGAGAACAGGGTGTCAGATCACACTTAGGATGGGGGTGTGTAGTGATGACAGGCGGCAGCCACCTGACCGTGAGGGAAGCTGGGGTCAGGCACAGCAGCCCAGATGTCTCTCTCTCACACCTCGTTTCCCAAATTCTTCCCCACGTGTCTCAGCTGAAGTCCACGTGGGAAGTAAACAAAATCAAAGGCCTTAAACTCGACGAACTTTGGCTGGATGGCAACCCCTTGTGTGACACCTTCCCAGACAGGGCCACCTACGTGAGGTCAGTGGGATGCCCCTGCCACCTTTCCTGGGACCTTCACCCGGGAACCTCAGCTACCCCTGACAGTGCTTCCCACCAGGAGGCGGCAGGCCTGGTCTACGGGATAACCTTGGGCCCGAGTCTGCCCTCTCCCCTCCGTGTCCCTCATCTGCGCTCAGAGCTCTCCTCTCCTTCCTCCGACCCGCTCGCTGTCCTCCCAGTCTGGGGTCTGGTCCTGAGTCTGCCTCCAGCCTCTCTCTCGTGACCTGCCAAGCGTGCGCCCCAGGAAGCAGGGCTTCCCTCCCCGCCGGGACCACCAGTCACCAGCCTGAGCCCAATGTGGTGCCCTGGACGAGAAGGGACGTCCAGCCGGGCTGGTGCTGAGATGGGCCTTCTGGTCCCGTGCTGGCACCAGGCTGCCCTCTCCTGTTCTGGGGGTGCCCACTTTCCTAGCGTCAAGGGCCCCCCTCCAATCCCAGCATGTCACGGGGCTTTCCTGGCCCGGGCTGGGGGCTGAGGCCCTGGGTGGCTGTCATCATGTCATCGTCCCTCCGGCCCAGAGCCAGGAGCTGGGACCTCCTTGGAGAAACCTGGGTTTCCTGAGCCGGGGGTCAGAGGTGGGCCACCCCCGGTGAGCAGAGGCTTCCCGAGGGAGGGAGGGAGGGAAGGCAGAGGCCAGCGGCGTCTGAGGACACAGAGGACGGGCCTCTCGGGCACTGTCCCTCCCTCCCTCCCTCCACCCGGCCATGGTGCCGCCTGGCCCCGCAGAGGTGCCCCGGGTAGCCCGTCAGGGGTCTGAGTTCCCAGGCAAGGGGCCATGGAAGACAGGCACAGGAGCCCAGGGCCAGCGGAGAGAAGGCGGGGACATCAGCGGGGCCGCAGACCCTCCCCCCCCCCACGCTGAGCTGGGCCTGGCCCTTCACTCCTCTGGGGAGGGTGTCCTGCCCCCGTGGCTGCCCCTTTGTCCATGCCCGGCTCGGTGGGCTGTGGGGCTGAGGAAGGCCCAGCGGCACCCGGAGGGCCCCAGCCCCACAGGTGCATGCTTCCCACGCCCACGTGGGGCCTCAGGGCCAGCCAGGGGCAGGTGAAGGGAAGGCCTGCAGCGGGGGAGCCAATTCCCCTTCCTTCCCTCTGCTTCCTGCCCCCTTCCCTTTGCCTTCTCTCTCCTGTGAGCTGCGCCTCTGGGACTCTCCTGTCTCCTGTCCTGCCTTCACCCCTTTCAGTCTTCATGCGCCCCCTTTCCATCCTGCCTGCCGAGTTCCACCTCACTCACCTCCTGCCCAGCATCCGGGCCATCCCTGGGGGGGACCTGGTCCTGGGACCGTGCCGGGCCTCCAGTGAGGTGGCTGGGCTCCCACCCCGTGCCCTCTTCTCTCTGGAGCCCTCAGGGGGGACACAGAGGCAGCCAGGGAGGTGGTGGGGGGGAGTCCTGGGGCCTGGGCTCCAGATGCTGTGTCTTGTGGCGGTGGAGAGGGAGTGGGGGGCGGGGAGTCTAGCCAGGAGCTACTATGGAAGGGGCGGGGGAGCAGGGGCTTGACAACCCTGAACTGTCAGCCACTCCTTTCCGTTTTGTTTGGACAGTGCCATCCGGGCCTTTTTCCCCACGCTGTTACGCCTGGTAAGTGCCTGTGCTCATCGCCCTCTCTTTCCGTGCTGACGATCTCCACCCTGCCCTCACCTCCTTGGGGTCTCGCCTGGATGACTTGCTCATCAGACCCTTACCCCTTTTAGAGACGTGGACTCCAGAAAAAGAACTTGAACGTACTCTCTGCAAAATGCACTACACGCACGCAGGCACGCGCGCACACACGCACTCTTGCACACTGCGTCCAAATTTACATACCACAGTAGAGACTGTCTCAACCTCACGATGTGGTTCAGCCCAGGAGATTTCCCAGGTTCCTTCACCCCTGACCTCTGACTCTCCTCCTCTCCTGGAGGTCCCTTTCCCCGGACCTTATCCGTGGCCGCCTCTGCGGTCTCCGCTGCTGACCTCCTCTTCCCTTCCCCAGGACGGCAAGGAGGTAACCCCGCAGGTTGCTGTTGACACTGGCATCCCCAGCTTAATAAAGCCCTGCAAGGTGAGGGAAAAGGAGCAAGCACTATTGGGGTACTGCAAGGGACACCCTGTGAACCCCCTAGCCTCAAGCGTCTCTTGATTTCAGGAAAGCTATGAAGGATCTGAGACCCTGAAAAATCTAGTGCTGCACTTCCTGCAGCAGTAAGTACTCCTGGGGCCACGCACAAAGGGAGGGCCTGGAGAGATGGGGTCACTAAGGCTCAGGATGGCTCACTGGGTCTTATCTCATTTGGGGTCCAGACCACAGAGATCCCCTTTGCCCTTTGATTCCCCACAGATATTTCTGGATCTATGACTACGGAGACCGCCAGGGTCTCCTGGGGGCTTATCACGAGCAAGCCTGCTTCTCCCTGACTGTTCCCTTTAGCCCCGAGGACCCAGCTCCGTGAGTATCACAGCCCAGACTCTCATCCTGCTGCCGGGATGCCCCAAAAGATGGGCCAGCTCCCGAGAACACCCCTCCTGGCCTGACACCACCTCCTGTTCCTCTTTCTCCTATTAGCAACATGTGGCAGTACTTCAGAGACAGCAGGAACATAATAAAGCTCAAGGACCCCTGTAAGTGGGTGATGGGGGAGACTGGGCAGGGAAAGGGCACGGGGCGGGGGGGTGTCAGTTGCAGGGCCCAGTGTGTGGCGGCCCCTGACCTTTGCTTGCATCACCCCCTCCGCCCCCACAGACACGCGGTATCAGCTGCTGAGACATACAAGCCCTGAGATTGTGAGCACCCTGTGCGTGCTGCCCCAAACTCAGCATGACCTGGGCTCCTTCCTGGTGGACTTGTGGGCCCACACGGTGAGCACCCGCTTCCTACCTCGGGCAGGCCCAGAAAGCCACAGGTGGGTGGGAGGCTTCGGTGGTGACTGAGCACCCGGGCGCTTCCCTTTCAGGAAGCCATGCTCTGCTTCTCTGTCCACGGGGTGTTCAGGGAACGTGAGTATTTGTAGAGCGTCCCCCAGGCCTCTTAGAGCTCCCGCCCGCTGTCTGGGCGCCCTCAAATTCTGCCATATTCCCAGACCCCTTTCCCTGCTCCCCCATTCCCTGTGTTCTTCAGTCCCCCCCCCACCAAGTACATCCTGGCCTGCCCTGCCCCCCGCCTGTCTGCCCCACACCCACACCGCTGGGGGGTGAGGGAGGGACACAGGCTGCAGGGTTCCATGGCTCTCACCCCAGATGCTTCCTCTGGGAACTTGGAGCCCCTGCTGAACCTCTCAGTTGCCTCACTTTCAAATGGGGCTGCTGACACCCCAGTCTCGGTCAGCTGCGGAACGCAAGTGGTTGAGCCCCTGGGCCGGTTGTCCCAGGACCCCAGCAGGGCCGTGTCCCTGGGAGCAGGTGGCGCCTGTTGTTGCCCTGCCCGTTCCCGACACCCTGACTCCCAGAGGACACTTGTCCCCCGCTTCAGCCCTGGGTACCCAGGGAGGCTCTGACCGGGGAACGCCACTGAGTGTGTGAAGCGTGTGAACCCCAAGGTGGTGTTATGGTTTGTTGTTTGTCGTTGAAGTGGTAGGAGGGTCTCCAGGCTCCATTCGTGCTTTCACCGAGACCTTCATCACTATCTCTGGCAGCAATTCCAGGTGAGACCCGTTTTGGGTATGGGACGCCCAGGGCGGCCTGGGCCAGCAGTGGGGGATGGGGCCCTGCAGTCCCCCGGATTTCTTCAATGTTGTGCACAGTCTGCTGGTGGATCGGGGAGCAGTCTGGCCTCGTGGTTAGGAGCATGGGCCCGGAGTCAGCTCTGGGGTTCCCTGCCCTGACCCCGACCCTCACTAGCTGTGTGACGTTGGTCTAATCCCATGACCTGTGTGTGGCACGGGGTCTCCTCTGCAGATGGGCTTAGAGTGTCCTCTCGCTAACGGGACTGTGCTTTACACAGCAAATGCGCTGGGGTTAACCCTGTACGTGAGGTGAAGCTGGAGGCGATCTCTGAAGGGATCTGGCTGCTGAGGTGCAGAGGGAGGAGCAGATCGTTGTTGGGCATGTCTGTCTGTCCAGTTGTCTGAGGGCCCGTTCTCCCTCCAGTCTCTGCATTGTGAATGACGAGCTGTTTGTGAGGGATGCCACCCCCTATGAGACTCAGAACGCGTTCTCCACGCCACTGCCCGTGCCCACCGCCGGCTCTGTGCCCGTCCTGTCGCAGCAGCAGCAGCAGCAGCAGGAGATGGTGCAGGCTTTCTCCGCCCAGTCTGGGATGAACCTGCAGTGGTCTCGGAAGTGAGTGCTGGGTGTGCAGGGGCCTAGGGGTGAGTTGGGACGGAGGGGGAGTGAGTCACGAAACTCATGGCAATTTGGAAAAAATCACTATTTGCATATTCTGCTTCCAAAGAAGAAGTGGTCCCACGTAAAAGGTATCACAATCATATATGGGAAGGGTTTTTCACGTGGCGCAAGGCACAAATCACATTATCTTGTATTTGCAAAATCCAAAAGAGCCACAAAATAACCTAGAGAGCCAATAAACAAGTTCAGCAAGATTTCAGGTTACAAGACAAAAATACATAAATCATTTGTTTCCCTTGTACTTGTGAACAATACCAAAAAATGAAACTAAGAGAGCAGGCCCAGTTAGAATAGGATCAAAATACTGAAGTACGCGGGAACAACTGTAACAAAAACAGCACAGATCTTATGCTCTGAAATCTGTAAGACATTGTTGAAAAAAATTGAAGAAGAGCTAAATAAATGGAAAGACAGCCCAGGTTCATGGGTTGGAAGACACTATTGTGAAGATGGAAACACTACCCAGAGCAATCTACTGATCCAGCACAGTCCCTACCAAAATCCTTCTTTGCAAAACCTGACAGAGTTAACAAAAGCAGTAATTCAAAAGGACACCTGCACCCCAATGTTTATTGCAGCACTATTTACAATAGGTAAGCTATGGAAACAACCCAAATGCCCCCAAAGAGACGACTGGATCAAGATGCGGTCCATATACGCAATGGAATGTTACTCAGAAATCAAAAAAGATAAACTCATGCCATTTGCAGCAACATGGATGGAGCTGGAAGGCATCGTGCTCAGTGAAATAAGCCAGGAAGAAAAAGAAAAATACCGGATGGTCTCACTTATAGCAGGAATGCAGAGGATCCAAATAAGGGATCAGGAACAAAAACTCATCATAATAAAGTACAAATCAAGATCAACAGGCAACTATAAATCAGAGACATGCTTTGGGGGGCAGGGGAGAATGGAGTGGGATCAATACAAGGGTGGGAAGATCACAAGGGACCATGGTGATAGTTCACGGGTGAATGGGGGGTGGGAAGTTTACAGGGACTATAACCAAGATGAAAATGCATACCTTGTGCCAAAATAAAAAAAAGTGATGTAAAAATATATAAAATAGTTAACAATAAATAAATTGAAAAAAACCTGTCGGGGTTATCTTAAGCTTCATGCGGACGTGAGCCAAGACAATCTTGACAGAGAAGCACAAAGTCAGAGGACTTGCTCTTCCTGATTTTAAAACTTGCCACAAAGCTACAGGCATCAAGACTGTGTGGTACTGGCATATGGACGGCGTTTGGATCCACAGAATACAATTGCCCGTCCGTCCACCAACAAGCCCTTACATGTACGGTCAGGCGATGAGCCACCAGAGTGCCGAGACAATGCAATGGAGAAAAACAGTCTTCAACACGTGTTGCTGGGAGGACCGTTTTCCCACATGCTAAAAGTTTGACCCCTGACACAAACCGTATGTAGACATAGACTGAAAATGGATCACAGGTCTAAAAGCAAGAGCTAAAGCATTGTAAAAAGGAGCTTAGAAGAGGGAAACCGAGCCGTAAGTCTCCCCGCACCAGGCAACTCGTTGTTGTATGTGACACCAAAAACACAACCCCAAAGCTTCTTCAAAACATTAAACATGGGGCCGCCCCGGTGGCGCAGGTGGTTGAGCGCAGCGCTGTGGGGCTGTCCGCAGCCTCTGCAGCGCGGGTTCGATTCCCGGCCGGCCAGGGAGATACCCACATGGCCATGGCATGGCAGACCTCTCCTGTCTCTCCCGCTGCTCCCCTCAGCAGTGTCCGTCTGCCTGTTTTGCTCCCGGCTCTGTCTCTGGTGAATCCTCTCCCCCTCCCGCACTTCTGGCCTGTACCCCAGTTCTTTTATAAATAAATCAACCCTAAAAAAAATTAAACGTGACCCAGTCATCCCACTCCTAGGCGTAGGCCAGGAGAAATGAAAACGTCCGCACTCTCCAAAGATGTGTGCGAGGCAGCATTATTCACAAAAGCCCCAAAGTGGAAACAACCCAAACGTCCCGCAGCTGACGACTGGAGCAATAAAGCGCGTACATCCATCGAGTGGAATAGCCTTCCGTTCATAAAGAAGAAAGGTTTGGATGTCTGACGCGCCGTGGAAGGACCTTTCCGCTAAGGGAAGGAAGGAAGACAGCCGCAGGAGTCCCCGTGGTGCAGGAGGCCGCGCCCACGGACCATCTAGAATGGGCGAGTCCTTGGGGAACAAGAGTAGATTCCTGGTGGCCTGGGTGTGGGCGCGAGCGGGCCACGGGGAGGGATAGCTAGCGGGTAAGGAGTTTCTTTTTTGCCAGGATGAAAATATTTTGGAATTCGATGGTTGTGACGGTGCACAGTCCTGCGAACACACCACAGGCGCTGAGCTGCACGCCCGGAACGGGGAGTGCGGCGGTCTGTGCCGTCCATCCCAGGGCAAACGATAGGAGTAGCTGTCCTTTCCAAATGTTTGTGTTCTTTTCCCTGAGCATCGTCGTTTATCAGCCTATCTTCGGTCGCCTCGCTCTTTCTCAGGGCTCGCTCTCTTTCTGTTTTGCGTCCGTGGGCAGGAATGGCGGCGACAGGAGCTCTGGCTTCAGCCTAGGTCTGTCCTTGTCACCACACGCGGCGCTCACGCGGGACGCGTGTCTCAGCAGGGTGGCCCGGCCTGAGCCGCGGCGCTCACGGAGCTCCCCTGGTCTCCCCCCCCCCCCAGGTGCCTGCAGGACAATGAGTGGGACTACCTCAGAGCTGGGCAGATCTTCACCGTGCTCAAGGTCAGGTCTGGGGAGCAAGGGCTTAAAGATGAATGTTTGGGGGCCTTGGGGAGGCCCAAGAAGGTGGGGCCGGGTGGCGGGGGAGTGGGGCTCGGGGAGCTGGCTCTTCTGACAGTCCATCTCCTTTCCCTCCAGAACCAGGGCAAGATCCCGGAAGAGGCCTTCAAACCAACCCCCTAAACAGGCCCTCGGATGTCCTGCTTGTCCCCCTCTACGTCATCTTTGTTTCCCTTTTCTTCACCCTAAGGCCACCCCAGAGTGAGGGTTGGCGGCCTGGCTGGCCAAGGAGCCACAGTCCCCTACCGTAGGGTCAGTTGGCTCCGGTGTTCCCTGTTTTCCCCACCCGGATTGTTGGCATTTTCATAGTAAAGAGTGGCGTTGTGTGTCGTGTGTCCCGGTTGCTCTCTTCCCTTGCCCCAACCACGTGCCCGTGGCCCAGGCTGAGTAGCTCGTCCCAGCTGCCCCCACCCCCCGCCCCTCCCTGTCAACACTCACACCGGCAGCCCCGGCGGTTACCCAGGCCTGGCCTGGACTCTCTGAGGAGAGAGGACACACCCCGCTTCCCGGGATGGGCCTTGGAGACAGCGTGACGCGCGACTCGGTCCGGGGCTCCATGGGAGGCCCACACAGGCAGGCCTGCTCCCTGCAACAACTGGGGCTCTGGGAGGGACGCCTGCTGGCTAGCGAGGGCGGTGGGAGCGTGGGAGGGGGGGGCTCGCGTGTGGCACTTCTTATTCCTCATCGTCCCGATGCTTCCCAAGGCCATTCTGTGAACCCTTCGGTGGTCTGCACGCAGGTGAACGGGAAATGCGCCTCTGCCCACCGCTGCTGCCCTCATCGACCCACTGCACTGCCCATTCCCGTTTTTGATGGTGCACTCGGCGGGGAGGTGGCGGCGGGGTGGGGGGTCTCACTTCAGCACCTGACAGTTAGGAGGTGTCAGTCTGCCTGCCCAGTGCATTTCTCAGAGAGCTGACCCCTGGTGCTCCATGCCGCCGTGCTGGAGGGCGTTCAGCCAGTTAATTTGTCCTTCCAAAAAAGCAGCAATAGCACGAAATCCCACACTGTGGTGCCTTCTGTGAGAACTTTCTCAGTGACTGCCAACAAGCAGTTCAGAAATGAAAGGGACACTGCATGATTACTTTTGCACTTTTGTAATGTTTGCAATGTGGACAGAAAGTTAGCGTTGTTTTTGACATTAAAATAATAGCAGTAAATATTTCCAAGTTGTTGTCCTACAACGAGAGCTGGGGTACAGACTGGGGGTACAGCCGGGGTACAGGCCAGAGGCGCGGGACAGTGAGCAGCAGGCGAGACAGGAGAGGTCTGCCGAGTCATGTGGGTATCTCCCTGGCCTCCCGGATATTGAACTGGCACTGCAGAGGCTGTGGACAGCCCCACAGCCCTGCGCTCAACCCCCTCTGCCACCAGGGAGGCCTAATTATTTTCATTTGAAAGAAGAGAAAACTTTTACTCAGAAGAGAGAAACTGTTAATAAAGCTCAAGATTTGGGTAAGTACTCCGTTCCCCTTGCCACCCTCAATACTCATATAGGTTCACACTCAGCATAAAGACTTGTCAAGTTGGTAACTTGACAAGATACATGTGTGTTTGTGTTCATTGCTGCATTATTTAAAAGATGAGAAAATACATTATTGAGCAAATGAACATAATAAAGATCTCAGCAGAACTTCCAGCCCAGGTTCAATGAACATTCCAATGCAGGCATAATTAGCAAGTTTGCTGACTTACAGCTCCTCCTTCACTTTCAAGATTCATGGCCAGGGCCTCAGCACTCTTATCTACAAGGTCGGGCAGCAGGCCAGGGTGGTCTCTCTTTCTCCAAGGCCATCCCCGAATGCCTGCATCTTTCCCCTCTTGCCTTGCCCCTTGTCTGGGGACTTTGACGCAAATGGTTGTGCCTGCTGAAAAACGATGTTATCAATGTGACAGATATGGAGACCGTTGTGTATAAAAGGAACCCTTGGTCTTTAAACCGGTGCTCAGATCTTATGGGGCTCCCCAGGTCTGGGACATCATGCCTGAGTAATAAAGCCGCTCCTGACCTCACCATTCCTGAAGTACCGCTTGTTCTTCCTCTGCCTGGGTAAAGGGCTAGAATTCATTTCTACAACATTTTGGTGCGTTGGCTGGGAACAACAAGCGGGTTGGCCCATTGAGCCATTGGCACAGGAGGACGCGGAGTGGGGGAGGGGAAAGAGAGCTAAATTGGGGGAATTGTGCTCCTCTGAGGACTTTTGGGGTCTCTGACTTGGTTGTTCCTGCCCAGCCCCCACGATGCCTTCCCAGCCAGACTTCCAAAGGGATGAGTGAGGCCAGGACTTGGTGCAGACTCTCGGATCAGGTAAGGTTCCGGGACCCTGGTTCACATATGGCCTACCCAGAATGGTAGAAGGAGAGGTTGATCACCTCACAGGGAGACCTCAAGAGTCTCTCATTTGTTTTTTGTTTTTTTTTTTAAAGATTTATTTATTTATTTGTTTGTTTATTTATTTATTTATTTTTACAAGCACTGGGCACAGTCAGAAGCACGGGAGGGTGAGAGAATTCACCAGAGCCAGAGCGGGGAGCAGAGCAGGCAGAAGGACCGAGGTACACTGCTGAGGGGAGCAGCGGGCGGCAGGAGAGGTCTGCACGCCATGTGGGACCCTCCTCTGGTGGCCGGGGAGCAGCCGTGGATCGAACCAGCGCTGCAGAGGCTGCGGGCAGCTTCGCAACCCAGCGCTCAACCGCTGCGCCACCGGGGAGGCCCCTCATTTGGTTTTGATAGGGAATCTTGGAGCTCCCATAAAGGGAGGGATGGAATAGTTATAACCTTCGGGGGGTGTGTGTGAGAGAGACTGGTGTGTGTATGAAATCTCCACAGCTGCAGCTGTGGAGATAGATCGGCTTTACCTGTGGTTCTGCCGACAAGTCATATGGCTGAACAGTGACTGGACTTGTCAAAATCTCTGAGAGAGGAAGGCCAGAAAAGCATGTGTGCTCCCCCTTCCCTTGCTGCAACATTGAATACAATAGGAGGGAATTGGAGCAAACAGAAGGTCCTCCAGACAGTGCTTAAAAAAAAAAAAGGAAACTGATAGGGTATTTTCTGCCCCACTTCCTTTAGAACCTAAGGGGCATTCTTACAAATATAACTTGAGAAATGTTTTCTTATCTGAAAGAGTAAGTTAAAAAGAAATATTTAAAAGTAAAATAGTAGTTGTCGTTAGCGAGAGGAAACTCTAAGCCAACTGCAAAGGGACCCCGTGCCACACCGGTCATGGGTTGACGAACGTCCGCAGCTAGTGAGGGTCGGGGTCAGGGCAGGGAACCCCAGAGCTGACTCCGGGCCCATGCTCCTAACCACGAGGCCAGACTGCTCCCCGATCCACCAGCAGACTGTGCACAACATTGAAGAAATCCGGGGGACTGCAGGGCCCCATCCCCCACTGCTGGCCCAGGCCGCCCTGGGCGTCCCATACCCAAAACGGGTCTCACCTGGAATTGCTGCCAGAGATAGTGATGAAGGTCTCGGTGAAAGCACGAATGGAGCCTGGAGACCCTCCTACCACTTCAACGACAAACAACAAACCATAACACCACCTTGGGGTTCACACGCTTCACACACTCAGTGGCGTTCCCCGGTCAGAGCCTCCCTGGGTACCCAGGGCTGAAGCGGGGGACAAGTGTCCTCTGGGAGTCAGGGTGTCGGGAACGGGCAGGGCAACAACAGGCGCCACCTGCTCCAGGGACACGGCCCTGCTGGGGTCCTGGGACAACCGGCCCAGGGGCTCAACCACTTGCGTTCCGCAGCTGACCGAGACTGGGGTGTCAGCAGCCCCATTTGAAAGTGAGGCAACTGAGAGGTTCAGCAGGGGCTCCAAGTTCCCAGAGGAAGCATCTGGGGTGAGAGCCATGGAACCCTGCAGCCTGTGTCCCTCCCTCACCCCCAGCGGTGTGGGTGTGGGGCAGACAGGCGGGGGGCAGGGCAGGCCAGGATGTACTTGGTGGGGGGGGGACTGAAGAACACAGGGAATGGGGGAGCAGGGAAAGGGGTCTGGGAATATGGCAGAATTTGAGGGCGCCCAGACAGCGGGCGGGAGCTCTAAGAGGCCTGGGGGACGCTCTACAAATACTCACGTTCCCTGAACACCCCGTGGACAGAGAAGCAGAGCATGGCTTCCTGAAAGGGAAGCGCCCGGGTGCTCAGTCACCACCGAAGCCTCCCCCACCTGTGGCTTTCTGGGCCTGCCCGAGGTAGGAAGCGGGTGCTCACCGTGTGGGCCACAAGTCCACCAGGAAGGAGCCCAGGTCATGCTGAGTTTGGGGCAGCACGCACAGGGTGCTCACAATCTCAGGGCTTGTATGTCTCAGCAGCTGATACCGCGTGTCTGTGGGGGCGGAGGGGGTGATGCAAGCAAAGGTCAGGGCCGCCACACACTGGGCCCTGCAACTGACACCCCCCCGCCCCGTGCCCTTTCCCTGCCCAGTCTCCCCCATCACCCACTTACAGGGGTCCTTGAGCTTTATTATGTTCCTGCTGTCTCTGAAGTACTGCCACATGTTGCTAATAGGAGAAAGAGGAACAGGAGGTGGTGTCAGGCCAGGAGGGGTGTTCTCGGGAGCTGGCCCATCTTTTGGGGCATCCCGGCAGCAGGATGAGAGTCTGGGCTGTGATACTCACGGAGCTGGGTCCTCGGGGCTAAAGGGAACAGTCAGGGAGAAGCAGGCTTGCTCGTGATAAGCCCCCAGGAGACCCTGGCGGTCTCCGTAGTCATAGATCCAGAAATATCTGTGGGGAATCAAAGGGCAAAGGGGATCTCTGTGGTCTGGACCCCAAATGAGATAAGACCCAGTGAGCCATCCTGAGCCTTAGTGACCCCATCTCTCCAGGCCCTCCCTTTGTGCGTGGCCCCGGAGTACTTACTGCTGCAGGAAGTGCAGCACTAGATTTTTCAGGGTCTCAGATCCTTCATAGCTTTCCTGAAATCAAGAGACGCTTGAGGCTAGGGGGTTCACAGGGTGTCCCTTGCAGTACCCCAATAGTGCTTGCTCCTTTTCCCTCACCTTGCAGGGCTTTATTAAGCTGGGGATGCCAGTGTCAACAGCAACCTGCGGGGTTACCTCCTTGCCGTCCTGGGGAAGGGAAGAGGAGGTCAGCAGCGGAGACCGCAGAGGCGGCCACGGATAAGGTCCGGGGAAAGGGACCTCCAGGAGAGGAGGAGAGTCAGAGGTCAGGGGTGAAGGAACCTGGGAAATCTCCTGGGCTGAACCACATCGTGAGGTTGAGACAGTCTCTACTGTGGTATGTAAATTTGGACGCAGTGTGCAAGAGTGCGTGTGTGCGCGCGTGCCTGCGTGCGTGTAGTGCATTTTGCAGAGAGTACGTTCAAGTTCTTTTTCTGGAGTCCACGTCTCTAAAAGGGGTAAGGGTCTGATGAGCAAGTCATCCAGGCGAGACCCCAAGGAGGTGAGGGCAGGGTGGAGATCGTCAGCACGGAAAGAGAGGGCGATGAGCACAGGCACTTACCAGGCGTAACAGCGTGGGGAAAAAGGCCCGGATGGCACTGTCCAAACAAAACGGAAAGGAGTGGCTGACAGTTCAGGGTTGTCAAGCCCCTGCTCCCCCGCCCCTTCCATAGTAGCTCCTGGCTAGACTCCCGCCCCCACTCCCTCTCCACCGCCACAAGACACAGCATCTGGAGCCCAGGCCCCAGGACTCCCCCCCACCACCTCCCTGGCTGCCTCTGTGTCCCCCCTGAGGGCTCCAGAGAGAAGAGGGCACGGGGTGGGAGCCCAGCCACCTCACTGGAGGCCCGGCACGGTCCCAGGACCAGGTCCCCCCCAGGGATGGCCCGGATGCTGGGCAGGAGGTGAGTGAGGTGGAACTCGGCAGGCAGGATGGAAAGGGGGCGCATGAAGACTGAAAGGGGTGAAGGCAGGACAGGAGACAGGAGAGTCCCAGAGGCGCAGCTCACAGGAGAGAGAAGGCAAAGGGAAGGGGGCAGGAAGCAGAGGGAAGGAAGGGGAATTGGCTCCCCCGCTGCAGGCCTTCCTTCACCTGCCCCTGGCTGGCCCTGAGGCCCCACGTGGGCGTGGGAAGCATGCACCTGTGGGGCTGGGGCCCTCCGGGTGCCGCTGGGCCTTCCTCAGCCCCACAGCCCACCGAGCCGGGCATGGACAAAGGGGCAGCCACGGGGGCAGGACACCCTCCCCAGAGGAGTGAAGGGCCAGGCCCAGCTCAGCGTGGGGGGGGGGGAGGGTCTGCGGCCCCGCTGATGTCCCCGCCTTCTCTCCGCTGGCCCTGGGCTCCTGTGCCTGTCTTCCATGGCCCTTGCCTGGGAACTCAGACCCCTGACGGGCTACCCGGGGCACCTCTGCGGGGCCAGGCGGCACCATGGCCGGGTGGAGGGAGGGAGGGAGGGACAGTGCCCGAGAGGCCCGTCCTCTGTGTCCTCAGACGCCGCTGGCCTCTGCCTTCCTCCTCCCTCCCTCGGGAAGCCTCTGCTCACCGGGGGTGGCCCACCTCTGACCCCCGGCTCAGGAAACCCAGGTTTCTCCAAGGAGGTCCCAGCTCCTGGCTCTGGGCCGGAGGGACGATGACATGATGACAGCCACCCAGGGCCTCAGCCCCCAGCCCGGGCCAGGAAAGCCCCGTGACATGCTGGGATTGGAGGGGGGCCCTTGACGCTAGGAAAGTGGGCACCCCCAGAACAGGAGAGGGCAGCCTGGTGCCAGCACGGGACCAGAAGGCCCATCTCAGCACCAGCCCGGCTGGACGTCCCTTCTCGTCCAGGGCACCACATTGGGCTCAGGCTGGTGACTGGTGGTCCCGGCGGGGAGGGAAGCCCTGCTTCCTGGGGCGCACGCTTGGCAGGTCACGAGAGAGAGGCTGGAGGCAGACTCAGGACCAGACCCCAGACTGGGAGGACAGCGAGCGGGTCGGAGGAAGGAGAGGAGAGCTCTGAGCGCAGATGAGGGACACGGAGGGGAGAGGGCAGACTCGGGCCCAAGGTTATCCCGTAGACCAGGCCTGCCGCCTCCTGGTGGGAAGCACTGTCAGGGGTAGCTGAGGTTCCGGGTGAAGGTCCCAGGAAAGGTGGCAGGGGCATCCCACTGACCTCACGTAGGTGGCCCTGTCTGGGAAGGTGTCACACAAGGGGTTGCCATCCAGCCAAAGTTCGTCGAGTTTAAGGCCTTTGATTTTGTTTACTTCCCACGTGGACTTCAGCTGAGACACGTGGGGAAGAATTTGGGAAACGAGGTGTGAGAGAGAGACATCTGGGCTGCTGTGCCTGACCCCAGCTTCCCTCACGGTCAGGTGGCTGCCGCCTGTCATCACTACACACCCCCATCCTAAGTGTGATCTGACACCCTGTTCTCACCATATTTCTGGAGAGATTCAGCCTCTTGACTGTGGGGACCATCTGCACAATGTCACTCAGGCCATCCAGCCGGTACAGCTTGTTGTTGCACAAATTGAGGGACAAGAGCTTTTGGGGAAGAAGAGTTAGAGCTTCAGCTCCTAGTATCTGGGGCCTGGGAGACAATTCCGCCCTCCCACGCCCCCCTCCTCAAGCCCCCCCATCTTTCCTACCTCCTGCCGTAGTGCCACAGGGCATGAGGTCTCACCTGGGGGAAAGTCTTTTGGATGATCTGCAGGGTGGCAGCCATGCAGTTTCTTCGGTTCAGGATTATATCAATATCACGGCCCACCAAGTCTTCAGGAAGTGGGCAGGAAGGCATCAAAAGGCTGAGAGGGGTCCAGGGCCTGCTGCCGCCCCGTGATACCATCCCCTCTGGGCTGTCCCCCTCCGCCCTCACCCACCCTAGAATGATGCTGCCAGTCGTACCTGGGTCATAGCGGAGACGCTGCAGGTCTAGAGATTGCTGGCAGTCATCGTATCGCTTGTTCATCGTCAGCTGCGCGGGGAGGTGGAGAGGGCCGCTCTGAGTCTGTGGTGGTAACTGGGAAAGTGGGGACTGGGGCAGGAGAGGTGGGTGTGGGTGTGTGTGGGCACACGACATGCCTGCAGTCTGCATTACCTCTAGGTGCTCCAGTTCTTCTGCCTTCAACATGTTCTTCACTGAGCGGGGTACAGCAGATTTATTGCTAAAGATACATATCTGATGGAAGGAGAGGTGGGGTAAGCACCCGGATCTTTAATCCCAAAGGGGATGACCGGCCCTGGCCTGTCCTCCTATCCCAGGACTAGGCACCGGCAATGCCCTGGGCACACACCTTTCTGTTGTCCTCATCACTAATCTTATAGCTGATGTCCTTCAGTGCAGCTGCAGCCCTAGCATCCTGGACGAAGAACTGGGCCTGGTTTTTCACGTAGTGGAACTGCAGGAGGGGGTGCCACAGTCGTTTTGGAGGGCAGAGATCTCCTGCTCGGCCTACCCCCACCTCACCTCACCCCCGTCCCGGAGCCCACGCATCTGCCCCACCGCCCTCTCTTACATCCACGGGAGTGAAGGGGACTCTGCAATGTGTCCGCAGTGAATCCATCAGCCAGCTCTTATCGTACTTGATGCCGCTGGGAACCTGAGGGAGAGAGGGGTTGAGAGGGGAGAGGCACAACATGGAATTAGGCTGCAGAACAGAACCATCGCAAGTTCTTTTCTGACCTGCTGCTGAGCTGTGAGGGGCTCCTAAAGATGGACCCACCGGCCCGATTTCTGATCTCTGTGCCCAATAGGGACGTGCCAACCCCCCTTTCTCTCCATTCAAAAGTTCTGCTCAGAACACTCGACACCAGGCGGTTACTGTGTTCTCGCTTCCGTGTGGTTCTGGGAAGTCCTGTCTGAAGCACACCCTGCCTAGACACTCACTATGATCTTGAACCAGTTGCCCAGGGTTTCATCTTGTTTCTTCTTCCCCGTTTCTCTCTCCGCAGATGTTCTCTCTCTCCACACGTTGATATGGATGCCGTCTTCATTTTGCGGCTTTACTCTCCTCTTGTTCCACCGGTTACCATAGGGAGAGCTAGGGGGCGAGTGGAGAGAAGCAGGGTGGGCACGAATGCCCCCAAAGTCAGCTACTCACCCTTGCCTCTCTGACACCTGGGCTACGATTGGGACTGGTCAGTCGTAATCCGCCTCTAGCTTCCTTCAGCCTTCCGGCCAGAGGAGAACGAGAGGGCCATGCCGCTGCGGCTGTTGCACAGTCCCAGGGGCTGCGACCTGCGAACCCGGCTGCCCGGCCACTTACTGTCTCACTTCCGGGTCCTCCTGGCCATCTCTCATGTCCCATCCCCATGGCCCTTCTCCTCCTGGCAGTGTGAAGACTGAGCCTCATCTTCGCCATGTTCACCACGAGGGTTCCTCTTGCCGCAGCTGCCTGGGAGAGAAGGCCGATCTTTCCTTTCTCCTTGTGGTGAGCCACTGCCGCCACTATTGCATCCTGAAAAGGGGGACGAAAATGCAAGATCATTTAGGGTTCTGAGGGCGCCCCGGGGACTGACCCTGTCGCCATTCTGTGTTGCCTCTCTTCGTCTCTGATTCATGTCTTTGCTCAGACGTCTAAGTCACTGGACGCCGTAGCCACAGTTAGCTGATGAAGTGTGGAGCCGTGCTGCTGCTCACCCTTCCCTACCCAAATAATAGTCCCTGCAAGCATCGGATTTACCACGTGACTGGAAGATTGGAAGTGACCGGCTATCTTCCATCAGAAATAAGGTCCTCTCAATTCTCTGTCCCACAGGTGGGCTCACCAAGGGCGCCTTACTGAGACCACACTCCCCGGAAACAGGGTAGCAGCAGGTAAGCACACTATGGGTTGGGGTGGGGGAGGAGGGTTACCACAGGCAGACTGGTAGCGCCCAGCTTCCCTTTGGGTTCCAGTATTGGAGGTCAGGTTCTCTGGGTTGGGGTGCTGTGCCCTTTGTAAGCTAATTAGGCCATGCAGTTGGGGGGCACACAGAGCAGGGTGTGCTCAGGGCTGGGCACCGGGCCACACTGATTCCCAGCGGGCCTTGTCGGGACCCCTGTGCGGGGTCATGTCTTCCACGGTGGGGCCGGCTGTGAGCACCATCCTGCTCCTGACACCACCCCGCCCCCCACCCTGGGACTTTCTCCAGTGGCATCAGCAGTGAAATCAAGCATCGTAGAGCGTTTGACCCAGCAGTGCCCCTTGCCAAGTGCCCCAAGCCCGGAGGTGGCCCGGAGGACGCGCCTTCTCTCACATCGCACATCCGACCGACGGGGAAATCAATCCTCTTGGCCCCTCTCTCCAAAGATACCCAGAGGACAGGCCCTTCTGCCCACCTCCGCCGCTACCCCTCTGACCTAGACGCCGCCCTCTCACTCCCGGGTCAGAGGCCTTTGGAACTAGCGCCTCTGCCTTCGCCCTTGCTCCCCTCACACCCTCTCCCCTGGAGCAGCAGAGCCCCACGTACTTCCCCCTCTGCCCCAAGCACGCGGCAGAGCTTGCGGCCCCTCCACAGGCGCAGGAGGCGCGCGCTCGGGAAGACACTACCCAGGAGTGGCACCAAGAAAGAGGACCCTCGGGTGGCCTGTGGAGAATGTCTGGCAACCCACTCGTGTGCACGAAGTTCGCCAGCGGACGGCGAGACTGGAGTCTTAACGCGCAGCAGGAGGGGCGCGGGGCGGCGCGCGTGCCCACGGAGGTTTGGAGCCTCTCTCTGGGAACCGGCCAACTACAGCGAGGACGTCGACATCGCCGAGGGCAGGTGCCACCTTCGGCTGGCAAACAGCTAGGGCGAGCCCCGGAGCGCCTCAGGTGGGCGCCCAGCGAGAGCCTGACCCGCCCTCGCCCTCGGCGGAGGGGTCCAGGGGCGCGCCAGCGCGGGCCTGGCGGGGCTTCGGCGTGCCCACCCGCGCGGGCGTTCAGGCCAAAGCCACAGAGGGGCGCGGCACGCCCACGGTACTTACTGAACGTCTTCATGGCGGCACACGGCCTGTCTCGCGGCCGTGCTGCCGCGGTGCAGGCGACCAGAGGCGTATTACAGCCGAGCCGGCGCCTGTCACCCAGCTGCCTGGGTGCCCCCTCAGGCTCCGCCAGTGTTGACTTCTGTCTCCAGGAAGTCAGTCCTGAGTAACCTCTGTGACATCACGTGCGTTCATACGGGTGCCCTCTCGTGTCCCTGTGGAATTCTGCCTGCATCACCGAGTGGGCCGCGGGGCGCACGCGGCAGCCCTGCTGCGCCGGCCGAGGCCGGGGTGGACACGAAGCCGGCGCGTGCCCAGCGGGCCCGGCCTTTGCTCGGCGCAGGCGGCCGCGCGCGGGCTTCTCGACGTCCTCACGGCAGCCGCGTGAGCGCCGGGTCAGACCGCGAGTGCCGCCTCGCGGGCTCCTCCCAGGGCCAGGGTTTCCGCGGCCGCGCGAGGGGCCGCGCAGGAGTCGCGCCCTCGCCTGCTGGCCGGCCGTCACCTCCTCGGTGTTTCTGCCGCCGCAGCACGGGATCTGCTCTCTCGGTGAACTCTCGGGCTCAACATTTCTGGGAGCAGACCAGGGCTGATGTTTTGTGAGCAGGAGCTAGGGACGCCTGCTTGGGTAGGACCAGGCGTCTGGGGAACAGCTTGCTGCCTGCCTTGGGCCCGATGGCGAAGTCGCTTTGGACCCCAGGGGGCGCAGTTAGGAGTCACTGGGGGGCCGCTGTGGCTGCCAGGAGCCCAGGATTCCTGGACATTTGCAAAATGAGCGTCCATCCTGTGGACTGGAGATCAGCCAGCCAGCCCCTTCTGAGAGCCCACTTCCACCCCATCTGCTTGTTCCAGATGCAAAGAGCGGCACCACCTTTCCACAACCGGCTTGTAAAGCCAGCATGCCTCGAAAACGTTTTCTTTGGCAACCTTCCAGTTTTCCCTTTACTGGGCAGTCAGAGAGAGAGTTAAGTTCCTCTTGTTGGCACTCCAACACTGCAGCTTTTCTGATCTTGGTGGGGAGTGGTGTGTGTAAATAGCGCTGGCAGAAACAAGAGAGGCTTTCCCTGGACCCAGCAGACGCGGTTTCCGGGATATCTGCCTTGTGGCGGCGGAGAGTTCCGGTCCTGAGGGCATGCCCGTGGGCGCTCAGCGTTGTGACACACTGTGCACGCCGCCCCTGTCTCAGAAGGAATGAAAAAGTGTGCGTGTGAGGGCATGTGTGATTGCACACGTGTCCATTCACGGGTGTGTGCTTAACATGTGTGCAGGCACGCGTGAGTACACACGTTGCATGTTAGTGTTTTGCACCACCCGTGCTTCTAATCAGCACACAAACCCACATAGTCCAAATCATGTTAGCAAACGCACTGCCACACAAGACGGGGCCCTAGTGTAGCTCGATGGCCGGTCTTTCTCCGTTTCCTTGACATGCTCTCCGACACTTTCTTTGAAAAAACGCATGGGTGTTTGAACGGCTTTTTCAAGTTAAGAAATGAACAGAGTTCTCGGTACAAAACGATAGTGGCACGATACCCCAGCGCGGACCAGGGTTGCAGAGCGTCCCCAGTGGGGAGGTCCGGGTAGCCCGCGGAGCGTAGCTGGGGCTTCGGGGCAGGCCCAGGATTTGAGAGCCTGCTCTCCAGCCCTCGGGAAGAAGGACGTGAATATCTTTAAGCGCAAGAGGCAGTTTCCTAAGAATATGGGTTGAAATTTCACCAGCGTACATCTCCACCGGCAAACGCGCGAGAGCTGATGTCCTGCAGCATGTGTGCCCATTCGCAATTCAGTCTGTGCTCTCACCCAGACATCTCACTTTTCCAGGATCGCACACAATGTTCGCTGCCTCAATATCTGCCCGTGAGTTTCTGGCCGTGCTTTATCGGCTCTTTGGCACAGAACGGCAGTGGGGCCGGGGAAGTGTCCGAAGTGGGGTGAATGATCGTCTTTGGCACCCGGGACGGGTGGGAGAGGCGGGACTTGAGTGTGGGCACACACAGAGGGAAAAGACAGGGACTGGATGTGCAGGTGAGGGTGTCGAGGGAGTGTGTTGGGAGGAAAATGAAACGCAAACAGAAGAGGCCGCTGAGCCACCGATGCCACGCTGGGGACCCGCGCCCCTCCGGAGACCTTCTCTCCCCTCCATGGACACAGCCCTTCTGCCTCTGCTACTTCACCTGCAGGGGAAGACCTGCCCGCCAGTCCCCGGGCTCTCTGAGAAAGGACGGCAGTGAAGGGCAGCCGTGCACAGTGAAGGGCAGCCGCGCACAGTGAAGGGCAGCCGTGCACAGTGAAGGGCAGTCGTGCACGGCGAGGGCACTCGGGGGCACGAGGTTGGAGTTCAGCGCGTCTTGGTGCCACATACCACCCCCGTCACTGCCCATCAGCCTCGGAGTGAGTCCCAGCCCAGTGTCCTCAACACGTGGCATGGCGGGTTATCGGCGTAGGGTTTCCAGTCAGCTCCACCAGAGTTGGATCCTGGTGGGAACTTCCATGGCGCGGGCCAAGTGACTTTGACCTCAGGGTGACCCGAGTTCTCTTTTCTCCCTGGAAAGCAGAGACAGTGATGGGTTCTCTCCCACGAGGCTAGCGTGAGCGGCCCGTGAGTTCACATGTGGAAATGCACGGAAGGCTCCCGGATCAAGGCCGCGACCTAGCAAACACTACAGAGAAGCTCGCCATCACGAAGCTGGCACTCGGCGCCACGTCTGGCGTACAGGACGCCACGCCCGTGTGTCGTTGCACTGGCGTCACGAGGAGCAAAGTGGTCGCGTGTTTGGGGAGGGTGGCGGCGGCAGCACTGAGCATGTGCTACCGAGAGTGACGGTGGCACAAGGAGGGGAGCCCTGTGCGAATGAGCCGCCCTCCTGCTTGAGGGGGCCCGCGGAACCAGGTCAGCGTCTGAAACCTGAGGGAGGACTGAGCGGCGTGGGGGACGTGTGCGCCCATCTCCAGTCTTTGCGGGGAAATGTGCCATTCAAGGAATGGCTCGGGATGCAGTGGTAGGCCACAGAACACAAGATGGAATATTCCCCACCGCGCATGAGTCCAGAGAGAAGGAAGCCAGGCCATGAAAGTGTCTTGCAGCGTGATTCTCAGAAGATCGTGGCGACTGCGTACGTTGTGGCGGTGGGCAGTGACAGAAAGCCGTGCAGGGACACGTGTCAGGGTCACCGTGCTTATAAGCGCGTGGATGGAAGGCTGGAGGGTCACACTTTCAGATCTCTGCTCTCCTTGCGCCCAAGAACGGCTGTGCCCGCGTCGGGGCTGCCCGGCTGCTCGCCAGGGGCTCCTTGCCCAGCATGAGAGAAACTGTGTTTCGCTGAGAAGAAGATGTATCTTCTCGCTATCAATAAGCCGCATCAGGGGTGAGGTTCACCCACCTTCTCCTATTCCTACATCCCTCATCTGTAAAGCGTCACGGGTCAGGGCCTAGCTCCTCCTTTATCGAAGTACAGACAATTTACCGCTCCCCTAAACGTTCCCGGCCCAGCGCCCCTGCATCCTGCGGGCCCCTGCAAGCCTCCGTCTGCTTGGCGTCTGTGGGTTACTCTGTCCTGCTCGAGAACCTGGCTGAAGTGGAGTCGCACACCCTGTACTCCTTCATGTCCGCCTTCTTCACCTCGGCACAGTCGGTTGCTTCTTTGTTCCTTTGCTCTCCCATCGTCCGTGCTCTTGCCTCTTTGGAGGCTGCTTAATATCCTTCCGAGGCCGTTGTGATGAGGTCTCGGGAGGGCAGCCAAGTGGAGCCTGGTGCCTGTCACCCATCTCTGGGTCGGTCCTCTGCGCCTACCTGGTGAGCACAACTGCCTCCCTTACCAGGCCCGTGTCTCTAGGGACCTGGCATCTTCGGGTCGTTTTCAGCCTCTTCTGCTGTTTCTGTTCCCTCAGCGCAAGTCAGTCCGCGTGTTGAATGTGCTCAGTCCCTTCCCCACTTAGCTTGGGCTGGGACTCTGTCCTGCAGGGGCGGCTCGGCTGCCGGGTGCACCCTGGGCTCCCGGGCGCTGCTTTCCACGCTACACCTGCTCTGCCCCTGCCAGTGCCTGGGGCTTCCTCCCTCCCCTTTCCTCCTCGCCGCCCTACCCCTGCCTTTGACCATATCCTTCCTTCTTTAAGGAGATTCTTCTCCCTCGCTTACAAGGGCACGTCTGCTTTCCAGCATAGCTACGTGTCCGTTCCTGTGGGAAGGTTGTATGTGCTTATTATTGGACTGTTGTTGCTCCCGAGCCACGAGGATAAAGCTGTCATATTAAGTGAGTAAAATTCTCGCTCGCTCATCATTTAATGGCTTGGTTAGTTTTTAACCTTGTTTCTCCCCAAGTGCCACTTGGGGACATTGAAAGAGTCACTGTCTCCAGGCTGTGCCCGCAACACTTCCAGCAGGACTGGGGGCAGACCCACGGTTTCGCCACTCTGCTCGTGCCAGCAGGGCACAGCCAACGTTGAAAGCCACTGTGTTGAAGCGTCGGCTTCTGGCTTGTGCTCATCAGCACATCCGAGAGTGGTTGTATCCTCATTCTGCTGACTTTCCACCCGGTGCTGCTTTGGGGACCCAGTGATCCCATTAGCCGAGAACAGGGCTCGGGAAGCATGGCCCGTGGGCCGAACCTGGCTGCAGGCCTGTTGTGCGCCGCCTGCCATCCAAGAGTGGGTTTTATTGACCTGAACTGTAGAATAATCAAAGCAATGATATTTCCGACTCTTGAAGATGATTTGGACTTCCTACGCCCATGTTCATAAGGCTTTAATGGAACAGGGCCCAGCCTCCCCCTGCCAGGCCCTCTGCTCTGGGCCAGACCTGGGCCTGAGGCTGCTTGGTTGCCCCTGAAAGCCCAATTCTCTTGTGGAAGGGTGGCACCTGGGCCACAGCCTCGTCGGAAGTCCAGCTGAACCGGGGCGGGCGCCGCCGTTCTGAAGGTTTTCTGCCCCCTGGGTGGAGATGGGGGTGGCGCCTGAGAAGGCTAAGCCAGGCTGCAGTGGTTCGGGAGACCCTCCGGGCACTCAAAGGATGGGTCTCCGGTGACCACAGTGGGTCGTGTGACCCCGCCAACCCCCTGCTCCTATTGAGGTGTCCTGGTCTTCATGTTTCAGGAGCACATGGACCCTGAGAGACTGGGGATTCTGAGCTTTTCCGCTCTCCTGGTCTTCTCTGCGGTGTGGGTCCCTCCTGTGTCCTCCCACAGCCCCCAAGTTAATTTCTTCTAACATTCTTATAAAGGTCAGTAGAGCTCCTTATTCCTGTGTTCTGCCACAGTCTACATTTCTTATGTTTCCCAGGAGAGGCCTGACTCTTCTTTGAATTTATTCTACTTGGTAGCCTTACCATGACCTCACTCCCTGATGAGTTCCAAAAAAGTTATGATTGTGTAGCTTGACTTTTTCTCCTTGATAGAGTGGAATGATGCTCTTTTTAGCTTTCTACAGCTTACGTAAAAGTATAACTCCTTACTCTGAAGCTTCTTTATCCTTGAGTCTCCTACTGTAATGAGAAGTAATGTAGCAGCTCAGTTCCTAATGAAGTTGCTTTAAAATGAATCCACAGAATCAGGCCTCTTGCTGTAAACAAAAGGAATTCCGGGACTCATGTTAGTCTGTGTTTGTCATTCTAACAGATGGTCTAGAGAATTTTTGTAAAGAAATAACAGTCAATTCTTTGAATATCCTCCAAGATTATTTTTTAATGATCTCCTTCCTGACAAGTCTTTTAGGTCATTCTTTCAATTTGCAGAGACCAGAGGTGGGAACAGCAGTCTTACAAAAGGAATTTCTGAACATGTCATTTATGCTAACTCCACTCCCACGGTGTTCCTAATGATCCCTTTGTTTAGTGCTCTAGTTTTCAACCTTTGTGATTTCCAAGGCAGGTTAAACAGCTTTAGGATTAGCTAGTTTGAGTATTTTTACTGGGCACCGGGACAAAGGAGTTATCCCTAGTCGTTTGATACCTGTTCCTGGGGTGATTAGGACATTGGGATTGTGGTCCAGAGTTCATGAGCCTTATGAGAGCTCACAAAGAAGGCGATTGAGGTGGTAAGAGCTCTGTATTGGTTTGTAAAAGAAAAGCACGTTCAGGGGTGGGGAGTTTGCTATCTCCAGGAATTAGCTAGCCTCAAGGGGGGCAATCACTCTACTCTTAGCATGTCCCCAGATGTCAAAACTTCAAAAAACGAAATGCAGAAAATAAAAAGACATGATTATTTTATCAACAGAAGTATCCTCTACCTGCATGGAGCTTATGATTTCATGCCTTGTAGTCCAATAAAAATATAGTCGAACAACATCTACAAAGTAAAAACCAAAATAAAACATTAAAGAAAACAGGTGGATTCAATTTTAACATTTTATTTAACATAAAAGTAAAAATATATATAATTTCAACATGAAAACAGTATAAATTGTTAATTATTCTTATACTTTTAGTAAGTCTTTGAAATGTAGTACATTTCACCATGTAAGCAATATGAACAAATTATCAATTAATTTTGTACTTTTCTTACGCAGCCTTTGAAATACCATGTGTTATCATTTCAACAAAGAAAAAACACTCACAATGCAGTGTGTTATTACAAAATGGAAATAAGAACAAACTTTTGTTTTTTTTTAAAGATTTATTTATTTATACACGATCTGGGGTACAGGCCAGGAGGCAAGGAAGGGTGAGAGATTCACCAGAGACAGAGCAGGGAGCACAGCAGGCAGAAGGACTGAAATACACTGCTGAGGGGAGCAGCGGGTGAGACAGGAGAGGTCTGCTGTGCCATGTGGGCTAGCTCCCTGGCCGGCCAGGAATCAAACCCACACTACAGAGGCTGCGGACAGCTTCACAGAGCTGCGCTCAACCCGCTGCACCACTGCGGAGGCCCAAGAACAAACTATTTTGATCACTAATTTTTACATTCTTTTTTTCTGAGGAAGTCTTTGAAATTCAATATTTGATCATTTTGACAGGCAAACATAAACAAATTATTAGTTATTTTAACATTTTTTCTAAGTCTTTGAAATGTAGAATTAATATTTCAACATGTAAATGATATAAACAAGTTAATTCACATTACTTTTACTGTCTTCGACATGTACTATGTTATCCTTTCAACATATGAACAGTATAAGTAAATTATTGCTTCATTATTCTCCATCCTTTGTTTCTTACTATGTCTTGAGAATATAGAGTGTGCATTTAACACTTACAGTACATCAGATTTCAGAGTAGCCAAATTTCTAGTGCTCAGTAGCCACATACGGCTAGTGTGTCCCATGCTGTATAGTGCAAATTTAATGGAAGAGCACAGGGAGCAAATACACATGGAATCATGTGATACATAAGGGAAATATACATGGCATATGAAAGAGAACAGCAAATTAAACCTATTGAAATAAGAAAGTAAGAGAAAACTTCTCTGAGGAGGGAATATTTAAGCAACGACTTGAGGGTTAAGCAGCTATCCAACAGCATAAAGAGATTAACATGAGCAAATTATGTAAGGGAAAAAGTGGGGGGAAATCTAGGCTACTAGAGGGTAATAGATAACTACCAAAAACCCTAAGGAAGAGTAGAGAAACTAACAAATCACAGTAACATCTGTACCCAGAGTGGCTTGAGATCAGGGATTTTGTTTTTACTAGCACCTGCAACAGTACCTAAATCATAATAGATGGTGAATGGTAAATGTGTGTGATATAAAGAATAACTAAGCCAGGGTCCTGAGACCCAGGAAAGCAGGTAGCAACAAGTTGGTGAAGACACCAGTAGTTAGGAAGCATAGTTGTTTGTTTCCTTTACCCTGTATACAGTTTCTCATAAGCAATCTAAGGCAATCAGAAGTAAAAGAAGCTTGTAGCACCCAGAGAGGAAAATTCCTGGTATCAACAACTATCTCATTCACGTCAAGTGGCTGTAAGTGGCCAAACAGACAGAAAAATGATGCACGATGACTAGGCTGGCTTATATCACATCCCAACACTGTGGTTAGTGACTCGAAGCTGTAATGGGCATAGGGCAAGAGAGGCACAGGACCTTTCCAATTCCTCTATTTCCTTTTTTATAAAGGTCAATTACATATCCAATTTTCCTAAACCCAGTTTCCTGGAACAGTAAAATTTTGCAGACATTTCTTCACAGACGTGGGCTTCAGGCAAAAGTCTGAATGCTTTTATGACTACACAGCAGTGCTGAAACAGCTTCTTGCACTGTGGAAATCAGTCAAGATAGGTGGTCCAGCTCATGTCCTCCCGCTTTTCCTCTTGCAGCATCTCCTTCAATTGGGTTTGCACTTCAGCAAATTTGTCATGGTCCACATTGCCATGAAAATTCCCCTGTTCATAGCAATGAATAGGGACAGGATAAATCACAAACTTCAGCTCCTTCATGGCTGTCAATTGCTGCAGAAGGTTGACGAGAGCAGGCATCGTAACGGGGTTGAAGGCAAAGCTAAAGACACGGAGTTGAGAACACTGGCTCAGGGTTGTGATGAGAGTAGTGAGAATACCATCAGTTATCAGGCAATTATTTATCTCCAGATGCTGCAGGGTGCCTGAGAGCTTCTCCAGTAGAATGAGGAAGGGCTCATCAACGTCCCAGAATATCTGGTTGTTACTGAGATTCAACAGCCTTAGGTGGGTGGCGTGAGAGCTCTGGGACAAGACAGTGATATCTCTTTTAGAAAGGTCACTGAAGGACAGACACAACGTATCTAACTGAGGTGGCAGGACTCTGCAGAGAGAAAAAAGAAAGTTTATTCCAGAAAAATGAGGTTTGAACCAGGGTAGTGAGCCCTGAGTTATAGCCAACTCGGGCTTTAGAATAAAGTAATTTGTACATCTTTTGCAACAGCAGTTGATAATGTGGGCTTTGTAACCAGACTTCTCAGATTTGTGACCCAAAGAAAGTTACTTTTCTACCCTGAGATATAAGTCTTCAATCATTAAAATGAGCACAATGGCAATTATTATACAGGGTTGTGGGGAAGATGAAGAGAAAAAATTGCATCCACTTAGTATACATAATCAATGATGGACCTCATTTGATTAGGAGAGGTCTGAGAAAGCAGCCAACTGAGGATTCTCTTTTCTAGTTCCCAGAAGACAAGTTATCCACTCAGCATCTAAGCCCAGGGGGCAAATAGGGATGAAATAATCTGGTAAAATTAACTGCTATGGCCAGCCCGTGGGAAATATGTCAGCACTACAGCATAAAACATTTCCCCTCTGAATGCCTCCCCTCTGTCTCTAGTCTCTGTCTCTCCACTGCAGAAGGAAGACTGATTTTTTCATCAATATATTTATAGATTTATCATAGTGTCTGCACATGGCCGACTCAATGTATGAGCACAGCTCCATTTCCTAGTTCTGTCTCTTCCATCACCATGAGGCATCCCTCTCTAGTCTGGCCAGTTTCAAACTCCCGGCAGTAGCCATGCCGAGAAAGGAAAAACAGAAGTTTGGGAATCTCTAAGCCTGGATTCGCTCCTGTCTTACGAGTGTAGTGTTCAGCCAGCCCTGGCTTGCCCCTCCCTTCACCTGAGCAGTCTGTGCAGTTGATTTGTGAGGCAGAAACAAGACAAGTTAAGCTCCTGGAGGCTTTCCAGCCGCCCGAGGCAGGTGAGAAAAGTTCTTAAGTTTCTCCCTTTACAAGATTTGAAGGGAATGTTAGACAGATTAAGGCTCTCCAGGTGGCTCATCTGAGACAAAATGCTGCTGACTTCATTCAGTAAAACGTCATCGACTTCCAGATGATCAATGCATCCCATATCCAGAAACTGCAAATTACTCCTCAGGGCAGACATTTTATCAATTTGCAAATTTCTGCAGCAAAGGTGCAAAGACCCAAAGCTCTGCTCAACTTTATTCCGAAGGAAAGAAAGAAAATGCTTTGCTTTCACAGCATCATTGAAGGAAATGTCCATTACTAATTCCAGGGGTTCCCAGACTGACTGAGGAACCGACTCTGAATCACCAATTCCAAGGCACCTGACATTATGCTGGGCTTCTTCTATCTTAAGGATAGAGTGGTCAGAGTAAATACAAGACTGGAAACAGAAAGAGTGGGTGGACTTGTCAGAGCATGTTGTCTCACAGTCCAGATCCTGTCTTAAATCTAGGATCTTCAGTTTGGTCCCCCTGTAGAAGAGGAGACAGAACACATGAGAAGTATTAATATAACCCAGGAAGACCACGATTGGAAGAATGGACAGAGTCTTTTAGGCCTGGCTTTCCCTCAATATCCATTCACCAAGTCCTTTCCATACAAGCTCAGCATCTTTCATTCTTTTCCCCATATTTTCTTCATCTCTGGCCCTCCCCAGTCTCACTGGCCATATCCTTCTGCATAACTGCATTCAGGAGATAAATCTGCCATGATGTTCTCAACCACCTTTATTGTATAATTAACTCTGTAAGACACTGGGGTCCTTAAGGTGACCACAAACGTTGGACCAAGAGCCTCATCAGCATTTATCATTGGCTGCTTTTGGTAGGCTGGTCATAGTCCCCTGCCCCAGTTCCAGCATACCCTCCTGCTGACTCACTTTGTGCCTTTTGGACAGTCTTACCAAGAAGAAGAGTCCTGGGTAGGGAGTAGCTGCAGACCATCAACCATGGCTTCTAAGACCTCGTAGCACGTTTCTTGTACACTCAGTGCCCCGATGTGGAGACAGTAAAAGGGCCAAACTCTCACCATTGCCTTCAGTGTCTCCTTGTGTCCGCCCAAGAAGGCAGCATTGAACAATGGAACAAAAATATCTCTTGGGAGTTCTCCCAGGGCATGGATAGCTGCAGGCTCATTACTCAGCAGACTCTTTGCAGCAAGCTGCAGCAGTGTGGCTGCGGACTTTTGGGCCATCTTCAGGAACCTACTTCAGGGTGAGAAATATTTAGAAAACCAGAGAAGATATCTACAGACTTATGTTTGCCCCCAAGATTAGCTACAAACAAAATGTTTATTGAATAAATACATGGTGCATCCGCGTGACCTCAAGAGACCTCTACTATAGGAATGGAATAAAAATAGATGCATGTAAGTATATATTAGTGTATATGCATGTGTATGTATATATAGAGAGACCTATTTTACATAAACAGAATGCAATTAGAAATCAGAGATACGTTAGCAGCAGATAATATTGATCACCCTGCTGCCTTCCTCTCAATATTTCTTCCAGAAACATACAAATTAACATGAAGGAAAATGTAAAACTACACAAAAGCCACTCCTTTTATCATTAACTTAAAATGTAGAATGCCAAAACTTCAAAATAATTGTGAGTGAAAAGACGAAAATCCTGAAATCCCAGCACACAATCTGTCACACTCTCATCACTTGGCTTAATGGCAAGCAAAGACAGGTCAAGAAAAGTTCTAAGAGATACACAGGAAGGAAGATGATGAGGGGCTTAAAGTGGATCTAAAACTACCTTCAGAATAAGCACAGGATAAGTCTGAAAAGAGCAAAAATGTGTCTTTGAAGATGAGAGCAACAAGTATAAAAAAGAACTCCAAAATATGAACATTTAAAGGGGGTAGATATTATGTAAAGGTGCAATCTTTGAAACACATAACTTCTGGAAAGGAAGACAAAGAAATGGGGGAAACATCCTTTGGCACTTAGGAAATGATGGGGAAAAGAAACAAAAAAGACAAAAATTAAGGCTCTTGTTAGATATCAGAGTACCCCACAACCAGAGCATTCACAACTTCTCCACCGATCACTAAAACAAAAAGGCTAAAGGACCTGGACTTTGCTATATAGACAGACGATGCCACCATTAAACTAGGAATGTTGTGAAACAACCCAATATCATACAAATGAACAAAAGGAAGGGGAATTAAATACAAAAACATTGCAAAAGGGATGAGGAGACAACCTGAAGAATATGAAAACACTAACTTGAAAAGACACATCCACCCTACTTGTGGCACTATTCACAGAGCCAAGATACACAAACAACCCAAGTGCCCAATGGCAAAGCAGTGGATAAAGAATATGTGGAATAATATTCAGTCATATATAAGATGAAAGCATGCCATTTGGGACAACATGGATGGATTTGAGGGGATTATGCTAAGTGAAATAAGTCAAAAAGAAAAAGACAAATACCAGATGATTTTACTCATTTGTGGAATATAAAGAAAATAAAAACAGGCCCTTATACTCTGATAATAGAATGCTGACTACCAAAGGGGAATAAATATGTGGAAACAACCAATTGGTTGGTGATAGACTGGACACTTGGTGACCCATTGGGGATGGGACCAATGAAATATCACCTTGGAATCTATACAGTGTTTTCAATCGATAGTTCAAAAAAAAAAAAAGTCTGAAGTATACAGTCTTTTTTTTTTTCTTTTTAAAATCCAGCTGTAGGGCCTCCCTGGTGGCGCAGGGGATTAAACATAGGTTTCAGAGATGTCTTTGTAGAGTCATTTTCAACAGCAAAGAAAACAAAAGAAAATATAAATATATAAATAACTGGCACTACATCAAGCTAAAATGTTTTTGCACAGTGAAAGAAACTCACTTAAATAAAAAGACACGCCACTGAATGGAGAAAATATTTGCATCTAAGAAGGGGCTGATATCCAAGATCTACAAAGAACTCATACAACTCAACAAATGGAAAACAAATAACCAACCAAATAGAGGGCATAAGAGCTAAACAGGCACTTCTCCAAAGAAGACATACAGACGGCCAACAGGTACATGAAAAAATGTTTATCATCACTTATTATTAGGGAAATGCAAGTCAAAACCATGAGATATGGGGCCTCCCCGGTGGTGCAGTGGGTTGAGTACAGCGCTGTGAAGCTGTCCGCAGTATCTGCAGCACAGGTTCAATTCCCAGCCAGCCAGGGAGATTCCCACATGGTGCGGCAGACCTCTCCTGTTGCGCCCACTGCTCCCCTCAGCAGTGCTTTTGGTCCATCTGCCTGTTCTGCTCCCCGCTCTGTCTCTGGTGAATCCTCTCACCCTCCTGCGCTTCTGGCCTATACTCCAGCTATTGTATAAATAAAAAATAAAAAAAAATCTTAAAAAAAAAACAAACACGAGATACAACCTCACACCCATGAGAATGGCCATATCAAAATTAGGCAGTCACAAAAGACCAGAAACAACATGTTGGCAAGGATGTGCAGAAAAGGAGCTGTCAGTGGGAATGTAGACTGGTCTAGTCCCTGTGGAAAACAGTATGGAAGTTTCTCAAAATATTAAGTGGATCTATCATATGACCCAGAAATTCCACTCATAGGCATCCACTCAAAGAAGGGAAATATGCACTCCTTTGTTCATTACAGCACTATGGACAATGGCCAAGTTATGGAAACAACCTAATTATCCAAAAACAAGTGTCCAAAGATGCGATATAGATACATAATGGAATACCACTCAGCTATTAAGAAAAGATCAACTCTTTAATTTATGACTACATAGCTGGAACTGGATGGGATTATGTTAAGAAATAAATCATAAAGATAAAGACAAATACAGGATAGTGTCCCTTGTGTGTGGAATATAGAGAAACAAAACAAAAGGTAACAAAGATAAACCAAACCAATAACAAACCCCAGAAATCTGACTGCAGAACTGATGCTGCCAGGGAGGCAGAGGGGTGAGAACAAAGTTGGGGAGGGGGAACACCTATGGTGATGGACTATGGGTACTTTGGTGGTGGGTTTGCTGTGGTAATAGCACCTGAAGGGGGCAGAGCCTATACTTCTAAAGCACAATGTTCTAAACCAATGTCGTACTGCAATAAAAATAATAAATAATCGCCCAATAAAACTAAAGAAACATAACCAATATAGTTAAGGAAAAATATATGATTATCATCATAGATGCCAAGTGAACTTTTTGGAAAATTCAACACCAACTCATGTTGAAAAAAGAAAAACTGGGGGCCTGCCTGGTGGTGCAAGGGGTTAAGCATCAGCACTATGAAGCAATCTGCAACAACTGCAGCACGAGTTCAATCCCTGGCCAGGGAGGTGACCAGCATGATGCAGCAGACCTCTCCTGTCTCGCCTGCTGCTTCCTCAGCAGTGTATTTCAGTAGATCTGCCTGTTCTGCTCCCCACTCTGTCCCTGGTGAATCCTCTCACCCCCCTCACCTCACACCCCAACTCTTCTATGCATAAATAAATAAATCTTAAAAAAAGAAAAAGAAAAACCTCAATAGGATTCAGGGATGCTTTCTTAACATGATAAAAGATATACGATTAATCCCTAGTGCTAGCATTTTATTTAATGGGGAACTACTTGAGACTTTCCACTAAGGTCAACAAGACATGTATGCTTCACTCCTATTCAATTTTGTATTATCAGTTGACTACAGAAATCAATTACATTCATAAAAATGAGTAACAAGAAATAAAGCCATCTCCATGTGCAAATAATATGTAGTATACCTGAAAGGTCCTATAGAAACCTAACAAATTAACAGAAACAATAAATCAGGAAGGTAGCAAGAAAAAAAAGAGCATGTTTTCATAGTCTTAAAATATTCCCACAAAATAATCTGTTACTTACAAAACATAAAAATAGCTGCATTACAATGGAGCCTTCTCAATAGAGTATGAATATCATCATTAATACAACATAGGAACATCAGATAACCTCTGACGTGATACATGAAAAAGGAAAAAATCGGGCCTCCCTTGGCGGCGCAGGCGGTTGAGCGCAGCGCTGTGAAGCTATCCGCAGCCTCTGCAGTGCCGGTTGGATCCGGCCGGTCGGCGAGGGTCCCACATGGCGCAGCAGACCTCTCCTGTCGCGCCTGGCAGACCTCTCCTGTCGCAGCCGCTGCTCCCCTCAGCAGTGTATTTTAGTCAGTCTGCCTGTTCTGTTCCCCGCTCTGTCTCTGGTGAATCCTCTCACCCTCCCGTGCATCTGGCCTGTACCCTGGTTCTTGTATAAATAAATCTATCTTTAAAAAAAAAAAAGGAAAAAATCGCTTTTGCAGTATTGTGGTCTAAGACCTAAAGGTAAGATCCAATAATATGAATGCCTTGGCATCTGGGGAAAACCAAGAGGGGCTCTAATGGCTTAAGCACAAATTCCTCTACTGTGCTCCCAGAAAGAAGGTCCCCTAACCAAAGAACCCTTCATATCATGGGACTAGGCACAGTGCCGGCCAATCCTTCAGAAGGTTTCAATTCTCCAAAGAATTATTCAAACAAGCCAAGCACATCTTTCCATGTGAACCAAGAGTCCCTTCATCTCTTGTCACTACAAAGACTGACCGCAACTGCCCCTGCTTGTTCACTCTCTTCCAGACTGCAACACCTGTGAGGGTCCCCCTGGGTAGTATCTGGGGAGTGTCCTCCAGCAACCTCCCTGGGCTGTGAGTAAATGTTTCTGATAAACTGCTATGGAACTCATCTGTCAGGATTTGTGCGTTCAGGCACCTCCATAACAGCAGGGTGGAAATTCCTCCCTTACCAGTTAGGTGAAGCAGAGGAAAATAAAACAGGTATTCTTACCAATGATGTGTAACTTTAACCTGACTGTAAGAAAAACATCAGACCAACCCAAATTGACAGATATTCTAGAAAATAACTGACCAGTACCTTCAAGTGTTCGAGCTGTGAAAGACCTTAGGGATGAAGGAACTGCCAAATGCAATGCAGTATCCCAAATGGAATTCAGAAATAGAAAAAAAAGCCATTAGCAAATGCAAATATTGTAAAATCTGCAGATTAGTTTACAGTACTGCATCAATATTAATTTTCAAGTTTAAAAATCTTTTATTTGGTTGGTCCTCCCTGGCTGTCCACTGCAGCACGAGTTCGATCCCCGGCCATGAAGCTACCCACATGGCACAGCAGATTTCTCCCCACTGGCCAGCTGCTCCCCTCAGCAGTGTATTTCAGCCAGTCTGTCTGTTCTGTTCCCCACTCTGTCTTTGGTGAATCCTCTCACCCTCCACACCTCTGGCCTGTACCCCAGTTTTTGTATGCACAAATAAATCTTAAAAAAAATCTTTTCTTTGGTTATATAAGATGCTAATATTCAGGAAATCTAGATAAAGACTTTGTGTACAATTTTTTGCAACTTTTCTGTACACCTAAAAATATTTCAAAAAAAAGAATAAAAAAATTGGTGGTTAAAGGAATGGCTATTCTATAACTGACACTATTTATTAATAGTTTAACGAACTGAAATATATTTAAGATGGTTAAATGTCATATCACATCATCCATTTCAAAAACGCAAACTGCTTAGGTGGCCCATTACAAGAAATGGGCTCCGAGATTTTTTCAAGCACAAAAGAAATGAAATAAAACAGAAAGAGAAATATATATATATATATATATATCACACACACACACGTCAATATTTATAATTTAAAGCCCGGGATATCAACGCTAACTGCAAACAAAACTAAGAGGCAAAGAAAAAGAAATGTTTTTTAAGAAAGACTATTCGAGGAATTTTAAAGAGAGAGTGTGAAATGATTAGCGATAGACTTGAAAGTAATCAAGTGAGGATAGGTGGATGTATAGACTATGGAATGAATCGTCGATCATTGAGCAATCCAGTCATTTTATCTTTCTTATTAATCCCTAAAATCATAATCCTGGGTAATTTAAACCAACATAGGTATAATTTACCAAAATGATTTTATTATGATTTACCTAATTGGAAGATGAGTTGGGAAAAACTTCGGAATTCAAACAAGAGTTCAGTAGCAGGGTCCCCGTATTTTCTCTCAGGAGATTGCCAAGAACAAATCCCAATCTTCGTCGTGGTTGGCGTCTTAACGGTTCTTTCTCAACATCCAACTACCGCGAGAGGACTCCAATTGGCTCACTTAAGTCGGGTGACCCCCTTCAGGCAATCATCTCTGCACTGGGAGGCGGGGTTAGCCGGCCTGCGGAACGCAGTTCTTGAAGTTCCACGAGGTGGAAGGATTATGATTATGTGTACCCCACAGCTGAGATTTCTTTGAGTAGAAAGCGAGACACCTAGGCGTGAATCTGGGCATTGCTTGGCCATGGTTTCTACCAGGCTGGGTCACAAACCCAGAGAACTATTATAATATCCAAATTTATTATATATGCAGCAGTATTAATTAAAACTTAAAAATGAGTGGGCACTTGATGGCGAAAAAGAGTACATTAACTGCCCTGGTGCTCTGATATAATAAAAGGAGTTGATTCCCATCAAAAATAGGTTAAAATGTACCCCCTATCTCTGTGCAATGAAGCCAGCATAGTATTTATAGTGACACTACAGCAGCACAATGGAGAGAACGTCCACCTGTCAAATAATAACACTGCCAATTACAAGGATAACTCACTTTTGCTTACATTTTCAAACTGCACCTAACACTCTTCATTCTACTTCTCCCTGTGTGTTTCCTTTTTTAGAGTATTCACAACCTTTTGGAATTACAATATATTTTACTCATTGCTGAAGTTTTTTTTTATTTTACCCATCTCCTAAGGTGGAAAAATATAAACTCCGGAATAGCAGGAATCTTTTTTTAATATTCATTAATATATATTAAGTGTCTACAGTAGTACTAGCTCAATGGAAACGTGAATCATACATGAATGAATGAATGAAGTATTTTTTTTCTAGAGACACTAGACTTTTTTGTTCTTCTAACACTCTCACCAAGCATAGTCCCATGCCATTATGTGTTTTCCTGTAACAGCCTGTCTTCAGATATCCCTGTAATAAACTTCAGTAATTAATACACAACTCTAGTCACCTTTTCAGACAAATCTTACTTTACTTCATGACACGTGTGATCGTGGTTTTCGTTTATTTGCTTTGCTTTGTTCTTTGTTTTGGCTGTTTCCTTAGTTTTCATTTCTAATTATTTTTTTCTTATATTCTATTTGCAGGTAAATAGACCAGCCATAGCTGTTTGAATTTTTGCAGTATTATGTCATCTTTCAATTGATGAGATGATGTTCTGATATCTTAAGAGTGGATCCATGGGGCCTCCCCGGTGGCGCAGCGGTTGAGCGCTGGGTTGCGAAGCTGCCCGAGGCCTCTGCGGCGCCGGTTCGATCCCCGGCTGCTCCCCGGCCACCGGAGAAGGGTCCCACACGGCGCGCAGACCTCTCCTGCCACCCGCTGCTCCCCTCAGCAGTGTACCTTGGTCCTTCTGCCTGCTCTGCTCCCTGCTCTGGCTCTGGTGAATTCTCTCACCCTCTCGCGCCTCTGACTATACCCAGTGCATGTACAAACAAACAAATTAAAAAAAAAAAAAAAGCCTCTTTAAAAAAAAAAATTAAAAAAAAAAAAGAGTGGATCCATGGACTTACCTACCACTTAATAGTTACAGGACTTTGGCTAGGTACATTAATTCTTCCAAGATTTTGTAATTCATCTTTAAAGTGTAAATGATATTTGCCTTCATAAAGCTGTTGATGGAGTTTTATTAAGATAACATGACAGGGCTAACAGAACACTTGACAGTATGGACAAATGGATAATTATAATAAACATTATTGACTAAAAGTTATCAGAATAGAGGCTCAGGAGATCTGGGATATTTCCCAGTCTCTATTTATTTTTTTTAAGATTTTTTTAAATGCATACAAGAACAGGGATGCAGGCCAGAGGTGCGAGAGGTGGGAGGATTCACCAGAGACAGAGTGGGGAACAGAACAGGTGGATCTACTGAAATACACTGCTGAGGGCTCAGAGCAGTGGGCGAGACAGGAGAGGTCTGCTGTGCCATATGTGGATTAGCTCCCTGGCCAGGGATCAAACTCACACCACAGTGGCTGGTGATAGCGTGATAGCTCTGAGACTTTAACCCCAGCACGACCAGGGAGGTCCCCTCCAGTCTCTATTTCTTTTTTTTTTTTTAAGATTTATTTACTTATTTATACAAGCACTGGGTACAGTCAGAAGCGCGGGAGGGTGAGAGGATTCACCAGAGCCAGAGTGAGGAACAGAAGAGGCAGACTGAAGAAATTTGCTGCTGAGGGGAGCAGCGGGCATGGCAGGAGAGGTCTGCGTGCCATGTGGGACCCTCGCCCGGCAGCCGAGGATCGAACCGGCGCTGCAGAGGCTGTGGGCAGCTTCACAGCCCAGCGGTCAACCGCTGCGCCACCAGGGCAGGCACCCCAGTCTCTATTTCTTTTTTTTTTTTTTAAAGATTTATTTTTATTTTATTTTTATTTATTTATACAAGCACTGGGTACAGTCAGAAGCGCGGGAGGGTGAGAGAATTCACCAGAGCCAGAGCGGGGAGCAGAGCAGGCAGAAGGACCGAAGTACACTGCTGAGGGGAGCAACGGGCGGCAGGAGAGGTCTGCGCGCCATGTGGGACCCTCCTCCGGTGGCCGGGGAGCAGCCGGGGATCGAACCGGCGTCGCAGAGGCTGCGGGCAGCTTCGCAACCCAGCGCTCAACCGTTGCGCCACCAGGGAGGCCCATCCCAGTCTCTATTTCTTAAAGATAATTTGTGATTACAAAAAGTAATCACTGCTTTACATTGTCCTTCAGTCAGAAGGAATAATAAATCCTGTCTAATACTTATACCATGGCATAAGATAGTGGTCTAGCTTCATTCTTTTGCATCTGGCTGTCCCGTTATCTCAATACCATTTGGTGAAGGGACATTCCTTTATTCAATGCATACTCTTGGCTCCCTTTCAGATTAGCTGTTCATATGAATGTTGGTTTGTTTCTGGGCTCTCAATTTTATTCCACTGGTCTGAGTATCTGTTTTTTATTACAATACTATGCTGGTTTGATTACTATAACTTTGGAATCATAGCAAATACATGCATATAATCGTAATCAGGAGACGTAGTTTCCTCAACTTAGTTGGCAATTGAACAATTTTCACTCAGAGTGTTTGAGTTATAGTGTTCTTCAGGACATATTTTGGAAAACCTTATTCAAACTAAATCTTTTACAACTTTGAAACCTTGTGCCTTTGTTTCTAAGAACAATGGAATGTTATTGGTAATGATTAAAACACATTGGGCCTCCATGGTGGTGCAAGGGGTTGAGACGCAACCTATGAAGCTATCTGCAGCCACTGCAGCACAAGTTCAATCTCTGGCCAGGGAGCTACCCACATGGGTCAGCAGACCTCTCCTGACTTGCCCGCTGCTCCCCTCAGCAGTGTATTTCAGTCAATCTGCCTGTTCTGCTCCCTACTCTGTCTCTGGTGAATCCTCTCACCCCCTCCCCCACACCTCTGGCCTGTACCCCAGTTCTTGTATGCATAAAATAAATATTAAAAAATAAATAAAATAAAACCAATTGCCATTAAAATATTACTTACTGCTTTTTAAGTCATAATGTTCCTGATATGATGATGGCAAAATAGAAGTGCATAAATACAAGGCATTAATGAGTCTTATCCTGAGCAAAGAACGTCTCACTTTTGAAAATAAAATATAACTTGCCTGTCAGGATGAGCAGACACAACACAATCCCTCTCATTTTGTACAAAATGCTCTCGAATTTTAAAAAACAGTTTGTTATTCTTTGATAACTGTAGCTGTCATACTATGAGTGCTTGTTATATCCCAAGCATTGTGATAATTAGCCATATAAGTTAACTCATTGAACACTCATTGTACACTGAGAGGGTGTCACTATAGTTTATGGATAAGATATGTGAGTCAGGAGAGGCTAGCTTATATCGTGACAGGAGACGGTCAGTGCCCCAATCTCAGTGGCTCATCCCTCACTTCTACTACATGTCCATGGCAGGTGTACATCCATCATGAGTTGGAAGATGCTGAATGCTGGATTCTGGGCGATTCTTGGAGACACCAACTCACAGAAAATTGACAGTCACTCTGGGATCAAAGAGAAGAGGGTCCTGAAGGGTCTCAAATCAACAACCATATGTTCTGGCCTGGAAATACCACATGCTACTCACAGCCCGCTAGCCAGAGCCAGTCACAGACAGGGCACCACCAATCAAAGGGAGGTCAAGCAAGAAGTGCAGTTCTACCAGGTGGCTGGCACAAGGGAGAAATGGAAACACTTCACAAACAGCACCACCGACCATGGAAGTGAAACTCAGGGAGATTAAGAACCTGCATAAAATCACAGAGGCAGTAAATGTCAATGCTGGGACTTGAATCCACACAGGTACAATTTCAAAGTCAATGTTCTTTCTGTACTTCTTTCGACTTTGCCTCAATGAACCTTGTATTTATAGTGGAGATTCTATTACTTTAGTGTTCCAGTTCCCTCTTCCTTCATCATCTCCTGTTCTAGCAGTAGAACTGAATAGACATGATGGCACTGGGAAAACGCACCAGCTGGCTAGGCACAGGTCTCTTCCAAAGGAATGAATGTATTATATAAATGAGTATTTGTTATATTTGAGGATAAAAATGATGAAATAAAGCCTACAATTAGGCTTTATTGATCATATGCTTAATAAAACGTTTTATTTTTATTGATCATATGCTTAATAAAATATGTCATGTCTTTCCATTACTGTGAAATAAAAATAAAAGCATAAATTAGTGAATGTAATAACAGCTATGACAAAGCTCAAAAAAAATTCTAGATGTCAGTGCCTTAGAGAGATAAGATAAAAAAAAAAGGTCAGGCAACCTGGGTCAAAAAAAATAGAAGACACAGATAAGCCACTTTTGGAATGAAAATGTTATATTCTTTCAGTTACAGCAACAACTTAAAAGGTAAGAGAATATTATGAAAAATTATGCCAAAATGTGGAAATTAAAATGAAATGGTTAGAGTGAATCATAAGAGAGATTATTGTGGGAGATTTTGGGGGTGGAACACACAGAAATTG